GAGAATTAGCTAGGGAGATGATGAGATGGTTTCTCACGTCAACAAATGGTTTCGTTTTGTTTCGTGTTTTTTCATTTCGCAACTTAAATTATCACGTGCACTGTAAATATGGTACAGCTGATAGGTCATAATTTCTTGGTCTTTTTGATTTTAGAGGTTGATTTCTCGCATTTGTTCCACATCAGCAGATTTCTCTGCATTTTCATGACTTGGTTTCGCCGAGTAAATCAGTGGTTAAGATCTCAGTGGCTGCAAACAACGATAGCCTACCTCGCTTCCAAAGATTACGTAATAACCCTGATTGTAATGATATCTGATAATTCTATCATTAGCACCACTTTGTCAGGGTTTTTTTTTTCAATTTCTTTGTTTCGGTTAATATCACAATCTTTATTGTCATCCCACTGTCCTTTTTTGCATCGACACGAACAAAAAATTTCTCGGCTTTGGAAAACCCGTGAGATTTTTGCGGTGAACATTGAAGCATTCTTAGGAGCAATTATGATTTTATCCGTGAGTGCAACTAATCAACAAATTTTTAATAATCCTCCCTCCAGAACCGATTTCGAAGTATTTATCGACACCAAATCATTACGGAATACAAAAGAAAAGAAGCGACGGTTTTTCTTTTTACAAAACTAAACAAGGAAGCAATCGTCACCACAGAGAAATAGGCTTCATTGTTTGGTCCAAAGGGAATAAACAACATTCGAGATAAATTTTCAAATGGAAATTTCTTCTTGTACTTTCGTTGAAGAACTTGCTGCCTCACGTATAATTGGTGAGTTTCGTATTTTTAATCTTACATTACAGTCCACCAAAAATTATTTCTTAGATGGTCAACAGGTCTCCCTTCCATAATTCGGGTACTCCAAGAAGCACTTTGCTCACTGCTGGTGCTAGTAAGTCCTTTTGGTCAATAAGAGAAACCGACTCAGTCTAAGAGTAGCACTAACTTATCTAGGAATAAGGAAAACAGGTGTGGCGATTCAATGTTCAGTCAATTTATATCATCTCAAGCTGTACGCTAACATCTTCCGAAGTTAATTTGCTCGTTTTATACGTGAACATTGCGAAACCGTATTGTAACTTTAGTTTCTCAGTTTGATCCATTAATCAATGTTCAATCTCTTAACCTACGCATGTTTTTGCATCAATCGAGATGATTTACACAATATTTGCTCTTTCATTATTGAGAATTTTTAAAGGCATTTCCGATTAATTCAAACGGAAAATCTTATTCTCGTGTCAGCGCTTTGATTGCATCGAACAATAGCTCTGGAGCTTCCACTCTCATGAGTTATAGGAATAAACAGCAGTTTAACAATTTTCTCATAGGGATTTATGGCCTGCAGATGAAAATGCTAATGTTTGGAACGATCTTGTTTCTTTCTGGTGCTGTAGTCCTGGGAAGCAGCATAACGCCTGGTAGGGAAAAAGTATTGTACATTGTCGACAAACACGAGTGTCAATAGTGTCAAAACTTCAATATTCTAACTGAACACGCTGAACGCAAGCTGTGTATTCGTAACGAAAGATCAATGATTCAGTTTATTGGTAGGAAAACCTACTATAGTACATTTCAGAAAGTTGGAGTTATTTTAAGGTTAGAGGTTACTTCAACGAGGAAATTGCAAAGTTTTTCTTCGCAACAATCAAGGAGATGTTTGAAAATTTATTAAAGTGAATCTGTTTTTTTGAAATTTCAGATTAGCGTCATAATTTCTCAACTTTTCCAGAGGTATAGACCATTCTAATCCTGTACACTCTTTAACACATTCTTTCGAGTCACAAAACACAATTTGTTTCCATTAATTCATTTGCAGAGGTTTCAAAATGCGATAAATCCTTTGGCATAGAAAATGGCAACATCGAGAACAGCCAGATCACTGCCTCATCTCAATGGGATAGTAATCACGCCGCCATTCAGGGAAGACTGAACTACAAGAAAAATGGACCCAAACAGGGAGGTTGGTCAGCTCGCACCAATAATCTTAACCAATGGCTCCAAATTGATCTCATTAACAAGTATAACAAGGTGACGCGAATTGCAACACAAGGAAGAAATGGAGCAGATCAGTGGGTTACCAAATACATGCTTCAATACAGTAATGATCGAGCACACTTCCAATTTCATCGGGAAGAAGGAAAAGCTTCCTACAGGGTGAGTCCAAAGTTTTACTTAAAATGAACTATAATGCAAAGTTAATCATTGTAACCTCAGGCGTCACCCACATGACGTTTTAGTGATTATTTTGACATCACGTCATAAATTTCGACTCCCTTATTGGCTGTTATTCATTTTATATAATTTTAGCTGCGATAATTGGGACGTAGGTGTTGAATAAAACAGTTTTTCGGTGTTGAAATTGTTAGTTATATGCTGACAGAATTAAAGCAAGAAGCTAAGACGATCAAATTTATTCCAACTTCCACAAGAAAATAGCGAAGTAAAAAACGTATTAAGAATCGATATTCTGTTAGGGCAGACAGAGTAGGCACTGGTAGCTACCTGGTATTGAGTGGGTGGAAAGCTTCAGAGCTTGATCTATTGCACATCATATTCGCGGAAATTCCCAACCACATTTCTAGGCATTAACTATGAACTGCGTGTAGGTATTTATAGGAAACACGGATCGGGACACAGTTGTCACTCATCATCTAAATCCCCCAATCAGAGCACATTACGTACGTTTTCTACCAAAATCTTGGCACAGACACATTTCCATGAGGGTTGAACTTTATGGATGTAAAGGTAATAACTCGTGGTTGTACTGACGATATTTTAATAAATGTTCTACATTTATTCTTTTGAGATAAAACTCGATAAATTTTGACAAGAATAGCTTTTTAATTAATGCGGCCAAACTGAAAATTGAAGCCCGTGTATTTCCGTTTTGGGTGACCAAACAGTCGTACTTTCTAAAACTCCCAATGTCGAAGGCTCAACAACGTTACTCCTCAAAGAAAAGGATTGTAACTCTTGATGTACATACAACCTGAAGCGAATCAGATAACAGTAAGGAAATGTTGCAAAAGTCATATTTTGCAGCGATTTAAAAGTATTTGAAACATAAAAGACAAACCTCATCGAGAGCTCCAATTCGATGTTCCTATTAAATTTTGAGCAAATATCCATCACCCGGTAATTTTACCATTTTTATTGATCGCGTTTATCTTTTCTATCATTATTAATTTTCAATTCAATTTTATGATAACAATTCAACACGATATGTCAAACATCTTGCTTTATTTGGTTCAATCCACCATTTTATCAAAAATTCATATTTCATTCCCAATTATTAGTATGTAATAAACCTTTGGGCATGGAAGATGGACGAATCTCCAATGGACAAATCAGTGCCTCCTCAGAGTGGGATGCCAATCATGCCGCCATCCAAGGCAGGCTGAATTTTAAGCAACGTGGAGCAAAACAAGGCGCGTGGTCAGCACGTGCAAACAATGTCAATCAATGGCTTCAAGTTGATCTTGGTTGCCAGTACACCAGAGTGTCACATGTTGCAACACAAGGAAGGAATGGATACAACCAGTGGGTTACAAGATACATGCTGCAGCATGGCAGCAACGAACTACACTTCCTGCACTACAGGGAACATGGGCAACCTGACTACAAGGTAGATAGAAGGAAAATAAGATTACTCTCATTGACTACGAGTTACTGCTTCGACTAAAAGTCTACCATTTAACTCTCCAATCGCATTCAATGTTCCCTGAAGTACACATGTTTGAAGATCAGAACACGATATGCTCAAAACAATTTGTTTACTGAAAATTTTAAAGCATGGATGAGAAGAATTTGTTTTTTTCAGAGCTCTTTCAACTCCTTTTTGTCTTTATTGCATCTATGAGATCTTATTCTTCGAATGACGACATGCTCTTTATCGATTTAGGTGTTTGCGGGAAACACCGACCGAGACACTATCGTTTCGCACCTTCTCAGCTCCCCAGTCTCTGCGCGGTTTATCCGATTTCTGCCTACAGCCTGGCACGGACACGTATCTATGAGAGTGGAAATTTACGGCTGTGGAGGTAACCAAAGTGAATAAAGTGCTCAATGCTGATTTAATAAATTTTGGCGAGGGAACGATATGAAGGTTGGGTGTTATACTATCCAAAATGCAATTACTTTTGTCTCTATTCTGATTCTCTGTATTTTCCATATCACGGCATGAAACGAAGTACTCGAGTAGTTGGAGGCTTTAATGGTAAATTCTTTGAAAATGAGCGCAGTTTTCTTTCAGTTGATCGAAATAATCTTTTAGGATGTAAGGACTGTCATGGCGCCCTCGGTATGGAGAACCGTGCAATCCCAAACAGTCGAATAAGTGCCTCGTCTCAGTGGGACGCAAATCATGCCGCAACCCAGGCCAGACTCTTCTATCAGGCAGCTGGAAACAAACGGGGAGCCTGGTCAGCTCGTACAAATGATGCCAACCAATGGCTTCAAGTCCAACTCCATACTATTTATAAGATAACATTTGTAGCGACACAAGGAAGGAATGGCGTCGACCAGTGGGTATCAAAATATATGTTGCACTACAGCAAAGATGGAGAACACTTTCAGTACTACAGAGAGCGAGGACACAATACAAATAAGGTAAGAATGAATAGGGATAAAAAATAAACACGTCAGTGTGAACTCTCAAGAATTTAAGCAGCGATATTTTTTCGTGTCTTCCAATTTATCAGTGTTGGCAGTCTTCTTTCATATCCAAGTGATATTTCTGAAACTCCTTCTTTGAGAAATATCGAGCTCTAAGAGTACTAGCTGGTCCAAAATCTCAGAAGTTTTCTTTCCGTTTTGATATTTTCCACGTATCCCACACGGATATGGGATCAAGGATCCGGTTACTGGCAACTCGTTCATTGTATTATTGGAATATATCAAATGCTTCCTTGAAGTTCAAACTTCAGTAACTTCCTTAAACTAAAGTTATAACTCTCACACCTTTCCTTTTGAATCGTCTCGTTATCAAATTTAGAGAAATTAGCTTTTCAGCATAAAAGTACCCTCATAGGGGTATCTCTTCGTCATTCGCTGCTGATGTCTTCGCTTCCGCCCTCCATTTTTTTTCTCTACTCTGGCTTCACCAAATCTTAAATTATACAAAGTGCCATAACAATGGATTTTTAAGAACTGTTTAAAAGTTTTGGTTCAAATGCAACGACAGCCGTTTGCCAAAACGTCATCAAATTATAATCCCTCACACGGTCGCTTACTCTTTGTAGGAATTTAATGGAAACGTTGACAGAGACACAGCTGTTTATCACGAGTTAAAACCACCAATCACAGCTCGTTATATTCAGTTTCAACCTATGGCTTGGCATCGCCATATATCCATGAGAGTAGAAATTTATGGGTGTGCAGGTGATATCATTTACATGTAGTTTAACTCGTTACGCCCTTACATCAATATGCATATTCCCTGTACTCCTTTCTCATCATTAAGAGATGAATTTGTTAAAAATCAAAAGCTTCCTTAGTTTGTATTCATGTCCTTTATTCTCGTGACTTTTATATTTGATTCAAGTGTAAAATAATAAGGAGAAATTAGATGCTCCAAAGGATTTAAAATGTCAAACGAAAACAATCGGTACTAGCCGCTTCTTAAAAGTGCTTCAGTTTTAGAGATTACTGGACAACGGTCTCATTTAGTCAAAAAAGCATATTTTAAAAAAAAATTAAAAATCGTGTTATCCTGCAATAAATGAGCTCAATGTTATCATATGCATCTCGCAATTTTGATATCTATAGCATGCAGCAGAGCTCTCGGAATGCAAACCCATCAAATCCCTGACTGGCAAATCACCTCCTCGTCTCAGTGGGATGCAAATCATGCTGCCGTCCAGGGAAGACTATTCTTCCAGGCTGCTGGGAACAAACAAGGAGCTTGGTCAGCTAGAAAAAATGATATCAACCAGTGGCTCCAGATTAATTTAGGTTGTAACGGCAACACGGTGACACGAGTTGCGACGCAAGGAAGGAACGCATACAACCAGTGGGTTACAAAATACGCGCTGCAGTACAGCGGTGATGGGTTACACTTTCACTTCTGCAAAGAAAAAGGCCAGTTAAAAAATAAGGTAAATCTTGACCTATATTTCATCAGAGTTGTAGGCTCTATATGGCCTCAGAAGTCTATACGACTTTAAAGGCGTTATTCTCGGTGGATGTTTCCTTGTATAGCCATACATAAGAACTAACGAAAGGAAGGAAGGAGATGAGATGTTACCCGCCAGAAAATGAATCAACACAAAGCGAAAGAATTAGACTGCTATAATTTCGTCGTGTACTTAAACACCAGAGTAAAATTCATTCGTTGCAAGAACTCAATAAAACATTCCTGACGTAAAATTCACTTGTCGATACTTGAAATATGTTTCACTTTGATAATTCCACATGGCAAATTTTAAGCCTGGTTTTCATTTTTTTTTTTTAATTTAAAACTACAAAGGAATTTCGTGGAAACAACGACCGAGACACTGTTGTTTCCCATTATCTGAATCCCCTGATCAAGGCACAGTACATTCGTTTCCGCCCAATAGCTTGGCACGGTCACATATCAATGAGGGTTGAACTTCATGGCTGCAGATCAGGTACTGTCAAAGATATTTATTTAGTGAAGACTTTCTTCGAAGCCATCTTCCGAGACTTGTAAACCCAAAAATTTTACTTTCACACAACAAATTTGACATGATATTTCAAGAAGTGGTGAACATGCATTTGACATACGAAACAATGAAGCTTTTAAATTTATCCGTTAATTAAGTTGTACATATTATAGTTCAGTAGCTAACAGGCAAACGTTTACCAAAAATATACTGATTTAAAGGAATCATCTCCTCATCTCCATCAAGAAATTTGTAACTCCCATAACATTTTTTTTCTGTAAACTATAAATAGCATTATATTGTGAGGTTTTTTTTCATGCTTTTATTTCAGATTCCAAGTGAATAAACGAGAGTGGTGACTTAACCCAGTTGCAGGAAAAATGAGCAGCGTTTTGGTGGCTTCTAACTCCGTGCAATCTTTGCCAATGACTGTACTCTTACATGAATAAATTGCCATTTGCAACTAAATGCATGTTTTGAATCCGAGTTGTAATCTACATTTTGAGCCCCATTATTTCGTGTTTCGTGTGCAGTCCACAATGATAAACCTTATAGATTATTTTGCCACGCGCAATCTATCGACTCCTCTTTCAGGAATCCAATCAAACCAAGCATTTTTCTCTTTGAGGAAAGTGTTTATACAAATTTTGAAGAGGATCTTACGCTGTAAAAAAATTGTCATTTTCCAGACAATAAATTCAACTGGATTGAGAATACGCTTCCACGAATACCCTTCTAAGTCTTATCAGTCAAGCCCTCAAGATACGACAAAATTTAATTTCCGTTCCCATACGAGTTTCTATACTAACACGACCTTAAGTCCGCATGTCCGCATGTTAGAGGGAAGAGGGGGACCGACGAGAACTTTTCTCTAAGTAAGTCAATAGACTATTTTTTTTCGTTGCAATGCAACAAAAAACTCGCTCGTTAGTTTTTTTGATACATCCGAACTCGGGGATAAAAAATCCTCCGTGCGCACTTTCCGTGAAATAATCTTTGTTAACGAGGCAGGCCTCTTAAAATCTTGCAACTTATTTACGTAGAAATGTCTTGGAAGCTGAGGGGAATTTCGATTTTAGCGCTCGAAGTGAGTTAATACGCTAATACCGAGAGATAGGGATGATAGAGACTTGTAAACTTCTTTAAGAAGATGTTCCGATGAAGGCGGAAAGATTACATCAGCGTTTTTAGAACAGTATTCCGTTAATTCCCTCGAATACTTTATTGGATTAAAACCCCACCGATCTGGTTCAATTCTCTCTCCTTTACAGGCTGTCGGGCAGAGGTTGATTCGAACGAAAATAAAAAATTCAACTCGAAGCTCCTCGAAAGGCTGATAAATGTAAGACATTTTACAGTCGGATGTGATGAATTAGTTTTCTTGTTTTCGTAAACACATAGCAGAATTAACCACGATAATCTAAGTAATCTTTTACAACCGCGGATCAGTAAATAAAACTTTGATTCCTTTTCCACTCCAAACAACAAAACAATTCAATTGCTCATTTCTCTTCTAGAAACAAAGAAGATTTTTCAAAATTTTGTAATAAATCAAGTGCAAAACAAACTTGCCTTAACTCCAGAAAATTCAGAGCGGAAATTCTTATCTCATGAATTCCTTAATTAACTTGGTCTTGACAGGTATAAAACTTGGAATTTCTGTATGGCAAATTTTTGCACGTTCGAACGAAATCAAATATTGCATAACCAGCTCAGAATTTGAAATTGGGCTACAACAATTAAGGCAAAATATTTCAAACCTTTTCTCATGTAATCAGTTGTTAAATGACCGGAAATTAACTGCCTCATGTGTTTTCTATACTCAAAACCTACGCCTTGGAAAGTCACGTCTTTTGGAAAGAAACCAACCCGTACTAATTTCTCACCCGCCCACTACCAAATCTATGTATGTCATTACAGTTTACCTTTTAATTACAACTGATGGCTAAAAATTCTCCCCTAAAAAGCACGTTTCTTGAAGCTTTGAAAAAATTTCGCTTGCTTTTATAGACTAATCCTACTCAGCCCAGTTGTGCATTAAAAGCACATGCGAAAGAACAGGTATAGAAAACGGTAGAACTAGGCTTGGAAAACGTTTCCCAACAAAAATTTAAAACCAGTACATCGCCCCTGAGTTCGACAGCAGGCATTCTCGCAACAGAATTAAAAAAAGACCTGATTTAAGCTATGTTTGAGCTGAAAAAGGGAATTTCTCATATAGGGCTTCTTTTCACTTAAAGTCGTCTAAACTAATACAGTAATTCTGCTAGTGAGAAATTGCACCCTTGCAAGATTGTTCTTCTCGATCCTTGAGAGCATCCGGTGACTTAATAATCTTTCTAAAGCAAAGTAAATAAAAGTGGAAGTGCATATGGTGATTGGGGAAATTACACTACAGCGTCAAATGAGAAAGACTACATTTCCTTCCCCTTCTCTCCCCACGCATGTTTGTTGCTGTTTTGTTCATGCCATACAATCTGAGCAGTCAATGAAATACTAATTCCTCTGGCTACTTTCCCGTTTTCCGAAACAGTTATCTTGTTTTGAGTTAGAAGAGCGGTTTCCCCTTGTTGTTTTATTTCATATCCCTAAAAACTGCTGACCGTTTAGCAAACTACTGCATCGTTAGCAGGATCTGCACAAGAAAATGCATGCATATTACAATTATTTAAGTGGATATATGCAAAACGCATGTAGTCTGTCAAAATTAGACAATAATTAGGTTTTTGGCGAAGACGAATTGTCCAATTCTTGACCATAATTTACCGAGGCATGATTAAGTTAAGACTAACTCAAGACCATGCAAATGCGGTCATGATTGATCACACTATTAGGTCTCAACCACAAAGTTTAAAGATCTTCTGCCATCTTGAGAATCTTGTTGAACCATCTTGAACAAGTTATCAGCATATAAATGTACCTCTCAGCCAGCAGGCCATAGTTAAATACAGACACGTACTGAGGTTTTAATTACGGATTTGAGGCTAAACTGCAACAACGTTGTCTTGGAAGCACAGAAAAAAAAGAAACACATAACAAAATTCCTTTTTGTAACAAGTTCTTAAGCATGTTCACATGACTTTGCACTTGTTATTGCTTGTAACCAATAAATCACTCTGTCTTTCTCTAAAAAATCGTTGTGAGAAAATAGACAAATTGACTCGCCATTTTGGGGAGCAGGATAAAAATAGCAGAAACAGCATTGCCTCACTATGCTTGAAGCCGACGCTGATTTCCGGAGAATCTAAGCTAATAAAAGAACAACTGGGTATAATGTAATTATTAATTATTTAACCTTAATCTTTGGCGGTTTGCGAATTTCGTCTCTTTTCTTAAAAGTAACCGCATCCTTTCATAACTCATTTGATTTACCTTAAATTATTTCCAAAATAGCTGCTATATTTGCACAAAGCACGCGCGAGGCGGCTTGTTGACAATTGATCACAACGCCGCGGAAACAGTTTATTTTGTAAGTATAAATAAAAGAAACTTAATTACCATAATTGACGTATTTCAATGAATGTGGACGTGTGTTTATTTCTTTTGTTTACCAATTTCGGAGGGAATGATGAGGGAGGTATGTTATACTAACCGATGGCGGTCTTTCGGAAACCCGCAACTCGACATAACTAGACATTCATACAGATAATTAAATTACATGTTTTACATTTGTCGCAGTTTTTTGTCAGCTGTTTTAAGGAAAGCACGTCCGATTTTGTTTTTTTTTTCATGAATTTCGCTTCTCCTACTTAGTATCTAATCAAACACTTTAAGCTACCCTCTGACAGCAATCCACTTTGATTAAGCAAGAACACGATGAAGTGAAAAACGGCGGGAAACGAAAGAGCGCGTTTCCGACATGATTTCATCCTACTAGTTATCGGCGAGACCTATAGGGTAACATATAAACCATCGTCAACTCAGCCAAAACCGCCTGTTTACAGCAATGAAAGGCATCACCATGAGTTTTTTCTATCGCTCTCTCTCAGTCTATAACTCTATTTGTTCTGCGGAAACTTACTGCGGTTAAAGTGAGTCTATACGAAAATATCAAATTAAGTGTGAAGTACTTGTAATTAACATGGAAGACGAACGAGAATTTCCTGATCAATCGTTATGTGCTATTTATTTTTCTCGGCATTTTAACTCGCAGAAATAAATCCAAATCAAATGAATCCTCCTTGTGCTTCTATATGCTCGCATTTAAGGTGATTAGTGTTAAATTTAAGATTTTCCGACACCCAGATTGATTTGGTGCAATCCAAAACCGCAGTTTAGTTTTTCAAAAGCGCACTAGCACACTTCAGCTCATGCCGCACATAGAAAATTCGAGATATGTGACCTGATCGGTAACGAAAATTTGAAAAATTTTTCATATCGCTAAGATTTAGTTGACGTAGTATGTGGGTTGTTGAATTTTGGCGTCAGAGGAGGTGACTCCTGTCATGAATTGTTTTCAGTAACATTGAGGCTAGAAGCATTAATCAATCCTGATCACGAAGCTACGAAAATTGGGCATTCTGAGCAGTTTGTCATTTCTTAGAGGCGTTTCTCAAAGTTTGGAGAAAGACTTGATTCTCACTTGTTGTTGTGGACAAATTAAAATTTTTAGATTCTTCAAGGCTGACTTGTTGTGATGAAGGATAGGAGTCCTGATCCGTGTCTAAGTAATTTTCCTCCATTTGACAAGCGAGCTCAGTACTTTTCCATCTCTCTTGCTCCACACAGGATCTTTTTTCGACTTTGCGACCTTCGCAAGTTAGAACATCTTTTACATCGTCTTATTAAAGACTCCAGTTTCCTACGCTTACCAAAGAAGTTAATTTTCTGAGTATCCACGTGCACGAATTGGAAAGATTAGAGTTTCGAATCCCTTTACCCTACCCTCGAAAAAAAATTAATCATCTTTAACAGATTTAGGAATTCATGTCAAAAAAAGGAGTATGTTAAATGCGCAAGACGCTCACTGCAGCTTCAGATGAGGGCCAACCTCTTTACTGTATCACAGTTTTACGAAAGTCATGCAAGCTATAACTAGTACAGAGGAATATCGATACACAAAATCCATATTAACGTTCTCTGTATATTTTACACCCTATCTTCATTCTTTGTGCAAAATCTTACCGCACATCTGTGAGTTTTGTGCAACTTGAAAATAGGTCTTCTAGTCGTACGTGTCTCTATTCATCTGGACCAACCAAAAATGTTTTGCAAACCAGACACTCACAAGACAATTGAACCTAATCGTGATATCTGATGTTTTGTTTTGTTTTGTTTTTCTTTTTTGACAACCAAAACTGTTTAATCTCGAATGGATTTCGAACTATGGCTGGCCTGATCCGAGACCAATTCACCAACTCGTGATATGAGGACCGAGCGTTTCCTCAGCTTTAGTTTATGTACAAAAATTGTTACCACGTAGGTCAGTCGATCGCCGAGCCTGAATAACCTACGGGTCATTTAGCGAGAGAGGTAAATCTCTCTTCTGCTATGGGGTGGATTGACGGACTAGTTTTGACAATTCTTTCTTTCAAGAGTAGTACAAAGTTCTCGACAGTTTCCACTTAGTACAATTCCGTGCAATACGTGTTTTCAAACCGGTTAAACGATTGTACAAGGAAATATTATTGGACAGTTAGGAGTGTTTATTGTATCAGACTCATTTCTGGCTGGTCCTCCTTCGCAACCCATCACGCAAAGTCATCTACAATCACCAGCTTTAAGTACAACTTAAAAAGCTTCAGAAAAAGAACAATATGGTCACGAAAGACGGTGCGACTAAAGTAGACGGACAACCGGCCTATAAAGAATATTGGTTAGAAATGAGAAGTTTGGGAACTCAGGAAGTAGGAAACTTAAAGAATTCTAACGTTTTTTGTTTAGTCATATATTTACATTGTTTACATCGCTTACAATCTCTAGTATCCTAGTATTCTACACTGCTTAAAGTACAGTTATAAATTCTACTTTAATCTAAAGCGAAATGCGATAAGGAAGGAGCAAACTGCTCCGTTAAAATTAACTGCTATTCCGTAGAAGCCGTTTTCTTGTGTTTTACATGTTATATTGCTTCAGCGAACTCTTGAAGATTATGACAAGAGAACCTTCCGGTAACTCAGACCGTTTGTCGTAACATAAGTATCGTTTTATAGACATCTCAAGTAGGGCTTCTTTGCTAAGGACCAATGTCTTTTCTATGAGAAAGAGAAAACCTTACCCCTTCTCGCTATAATCTAAGCATTTGGTTAGCACTGTAATGAATTTCTTGAAAAGACGAATTTCTGTTTAATATAAGTCCGGCTTATTGAACTAGACTAGGGTAACACTAGGTATGTTTATATACGATACGTTTCATTCGTATCTAGTTTTTATGGCAGTTCGCCATTTTACTCTTCACATGACTGACGAAAGGAGACTGGCTGCTCCGAGCCATTTTAGAGCAGCGTCTGAGAAGCTTCGAGTGGATCTCTAGAGTAACACTCTCAAACAATGTAGAAGTTCCTGTTATTTACAGAGATCTTTAGACTATTAACTTATGACGCAGTCGCCAACACCGTCAAGTTGTTTTCGTCAAGATGAAAAATAGTTGTACTGTTCTATATCGAGAATATTCAAGGCCCTTTCCCCAAGGGAAGACGCCCTGTATCTTCAAGTCCAAATATGCGTCTTTCTTCATCTTACCTGCCGAATCTACTCATATTGTTTGTGTAGCTTAGAAGAAAACGTCGCAAATTGCGCACGTTTTTCATGGTTGAGTAACATTTTTCCGCCTTAAGGCAGAAATACGAGCAAAATATCCTTGTTTCTGACAATACCTAATCACCAATATTTGTCCTTTTTATCGTAGCAGCTCAATATAAATCGTCACTGAGTTGAAGACAAATAACCGCTATTCTAAGATACATAAATTACATTCCTTGCGGGCCTACAAACCGCATACTTAGGCATTTTACACCGTAAAATTGCGAACTAATGATGACTCCAACACAGAAGACATATACCTGTACTGTGTCCTGCAGAAAAGGTTTCACAGCATTACTTTGTTTCGGGATGAATTTTCTATCTGGTTAGCTTAGTTTTACCTCTCCTCTTAATGCATACCTATACTACAAGCTTTCGTCGATCTACTTTACCTTAGCTAAAGATTTAAAAAAAAAAATTAAACTCTTTTTACTTTGTACATTAAAACATTATAGTGTGACTATATTAGACACTTATCAAAACCTACTTTGCGTGATCAATATATAGGGCTTAATCAACGATATTCGCTCGACCGGGCGAAATATTTTGACAGAAAGAAAATACATTCTAACTGCTGTTTTTCTGGGGTTTTTTTTTCCAACTAGTGAAGCATTTTATGCAAGTACACCTGACACTTAATTGTAAGAAGGAAACTCTCAAATCGATCCTTTTTTGTTTAAAGATTGGTAATAAATATGTAAGCATCCCAAAAATCTATCTTATCCACCTACGCCATCTCTTATTTTATCATGAGAGCTTTTACATCGTCTATCATATTTACAGCTATTTTAAGAGCCATAAACGTTCAATTATTACCATTCGGGTCTGGCTTTTGTAGCAATTTATCGATCGGTATCAGTTGGCAAGGTCTGGAAAATTTCGCTGTAAGCCGCGTTTCATTGCATCTTCTCCCACTTAGCGTGGTGTAAGTGGTGTTGGATCTACCCCCATCTCTTGGCGTCTTAAGCGGAGTGGACAACGCGCCCTTCGTGTGAAATTCTTGTTTGATTTCCTGTTTACCAAGGCAAAGAGACAGCTGTTAATTTTTTTTTTTTAAGGAACAAAGTTTATTCAGCCAAAGAATACTTCAGCATATATGTACATGTGTAACTAACAGCATAAGCAAACTTGTGGTAAAGAAGCTGAGATTATTTCAAGAGACACAAGAGTCATCAATCTTGGACCGTCTGAGAAAAAAGTTAACAATCAGACGAGCCAGACGTCGTTAAAGGTAACTACCCTACTTGTCATACAGGTACCAAATTTAGTCTAGACTTTCAGGAGTCCAAGTCTTGTTTTTTTAGTTCAACTGAAAGAAGAAAGCGGGCGATACGCTCCACAGAAGACGTAGAATAGAATCTAATTTAGTAATTTTGCAAATGGCTTGCCTAAAATAAATTGCTTTCAAATATACAGAGCAGAATTTCCGAGCTAAGAATAACATTGAAAGGAAATAATTTATCAAAACGTCAGAGAGTTTCACTGAAGCATGCGAAGAATTTTTTTGCATTTAAAAGCCAACTTTAAAAATAAATATTGCCTAGCGAAAAGACAGGATATTGTGCTCAAACCAGTGATTGAGATAATGATAATAAACCTATAAATCAACCCATATTTTTTTACTTTGCGAAAATAACTGATATTCCCTTTCTTGATCCAGTCCAGTGGTTTTAAACGGTAAATCATGACATTGCAGAGGACAAGTTCTGAGCGTGTCATCCTCGCGCGCACGCGGCGTGTTCAAGAAGCACACGGCCGCCCCAATCGATCAAAAGCTTGCTTGTGAAATACATAAATGTACATGAAAAGGCAGCACTTACCTCGAAAACATCTGCCACGCATTTCGTTCTCCTTCCTTCTTTATTGTGTCTCACAAACGCCTCAGTAAACTCACTCCTCCACGAGTATTCATCCCAAGAGCCAGAAGAAGTAGCCACCAAATTCTTAAATTGATCAGGATGTCGGCGCATTCTGCTGGTAATTCTGTTAACCATGGCACCAGAATAGCTGTAATCAGCCACGATAAAGAGTCTTGTTGCAGTGCAGTTTTTCACGTCTTCTAGAAGTTGTTTTGGCGTGTATAGCTCAGAATCATCGGTGATGCCGTCCCCGTTGTCGTGGAACAGAAGAGCGCCATCGCTAGTCGACGGCCCAGTGAGATAGAGTGTGATGGAATCTGCACAATTACGAGATCCACAAAGCTTCTTGATGTACTCTTTGACCCCTGTTGGATTTCTTGCGAAGAAAGAGTTGTCTCTTTGTCTATCGTGAACTGAAAATAGAAAACGCTAATTAAAAAACTTCGAAGAAACGTTAAGAGTTTTTCGTTTGCTAGAGAATCAGCGAGTTACTTAGAAGAATAGAATGCTAGTAATTTCAGCTTCCCGTGTAACGACAAGATTTTTTAAAGTCGTGTCTTGAAACTTCAGTTACGAGATACTGCGACGAACAGATTATTAAGGGTCGTTTTGAGTGATAGTGCAATTCGACGGCTTTGACATGACGAAATACATCGTATTTATGCTGAGAAAAAAACCCAAGTTGAATTTTCAGAGCTGGCCACATATTTCACTAAGCTCCACTAGCGAGTAGAGCATAAAACGAGACTTAAAACTATTATAAATATAGTAATCCTATGATTAAGCAATTTGTGTAAAATAGTAAAAAAATGCAAAATCACTCAAAAGAATTATGCAGCTTATTAAGTCGAGTGAACATGATAGATTTAGTCGGCCAAATTCACAGCCTGCATGCTGTGAATTTCTGTCACATTATCTTGCTTAAAATTCCTTCGTTTCAAAATCGTAGGGCAAAAACTTAATTAAAACGTCTACAGTTGAAATAGCACTTTAAAACGGACAAACAGCTAAGAGACAAGAGTGAAAACGGAACAAAGATGTCTTGAAAAAAATATTAAAGCCGCTTAAAGTTTCCTATTTACCATCAGCGGCTGACGGTAAAGGGGAAACTTGAATCATCTAGATGCAATTTTTTTTAGATGCAAAAGCTATGATGCAACTCCTTTCAACGCTGTTAGTCTCAAGATCTGAGTTTCAATTGTCAAATGTCCATCTGTTTTACATTTCTAGAGACTACTCTTGAGGTAATAATTATATCTATTTTTATTGCCTATTTGCTGGATAATGCGTTAAAATCGTAAGGAAAATCACGTGCTAGTCACTTTTAGCAGTGTTGAAGCATCAGAGATGTAAAACCTTTGTGGAAGCTCGCCTCTGGCTTTTAAGGGTGATCTTTTCGATTCCTCAATTTACTTCCTAATTAATTGTCAGTGCGAATTTTTCGACCCATGTTTTTGAATGGGTCAGAATTCTAATCAACTGCGATGACTCAGAGCTTCCGCTAAATACGTGAGGTAGCCATAGATTTCGACTACGTGAAATTCTAATTAACACGTAATCACCTCGGCGAATCGTTCTTCATTTTGTATGTGACAAGACTTCGCCGAAATTAAAAAGTCGTATTGGACGTGAGCACAGGATTAATTTTGCGTTGTTTTGAGTCAAGTGTTTATTTTCGGGGTCAATCGATGATGAAATAATATAACAAGCGTTCTGTTGACTCAAGGCAAACACTTACAATTCTAAAAATTCTACACGCAAAACGAAAGAATGCAACGCTTAAAATTTTCCATAATCGGTGTGTTCACGTGACGTTATTTGCAGCTTTAGTAGTTCGACCGGAGGAATTAGAGCCTAGAAAGTTCTAAACGCGCTTAGAGATCTTTTAGGGTTTCAGCGTAAACGTATCACTCCAAATTGAAAACCTCTTTAACAGATGCATTTCAGCGCGGCTTCAATTGTATGTCGGCGAAGTGCAAAGGAAATTCTCATTGTTAGAATGCGCAACATGATTTTACTTTTGCTTCAAAAGATTTCACCTCTGTGAAGCGCCTGGTACGGTATTTTAATTTCTACTTTTCATTAGAACATCGTATTTTTCATGAGCACATAATTCCACTTCATTGTTATCGAGGCTTTATTAAAAATGCCACCCATCGGTTTGTGTTTTGTTCTGTACCTTCGTTTACAACGACGAAAATTAAACTTTCAGTGTCTTTGTCTCTATCATCGAAGTTGTGATTAGTGAAGAGTTATTGATTTCTCAGTAGTGACAGTGTCAGTTCTACAGCTTCGTTGCCGCTGTTCTTTCTCAGTATAATCGATGTCTGGAGTTGGAAAACTGATTCTTAAGAAAGATTGATCAATTCACACAAAGCGAACAGTTTAAGGCTTAATGAATTGATTGTAGAGATGTGTGAAGTTATTTAGTTTCGCAATTTTTCGCCGGTTCGACAGAAACATTCTACAAACTCACAGAGAGACTACAATTTATTTGTAAAACTCAGTGGTGAGAACCGCGGTGAAGATGAAAAAAGAGGCAATGCCTCTAAGGTAAGTTTTTAATCAATTAAAAGCGTCTTAAATGAAGCATTTTCTTATTCTAATAAACGAAATTGTTTTTGTCAGTCTGGCTGCAGTGAAGAAACCGCTCGTTGAGTTATGAATATTGTTTCGTGAAAGGTATCGGTTTCAAAATTAATTACTCCGCGACATCGGCTATTTACAATTTATCACATTAAGGGTTTAAACCGAACCGCTTACAACAGCATCCCGCTGGGCTGAAAACACAGTTGGCAAAATAAATCCCCTGCACTTAGACGGTCAGATAGAGAGTTTTTCTCCGCAAGCAAAAGATGGAAACTCCATTAACGAATCTTTGGCTAGCTGATCAAATAGCCTTCCCACAAAGATTACAAGGTTGGATAACATATAGATCGCACGTAATTCCACCAACTCGTAAAGACTAGAAATTTACCTGCAGAAATCGTAAATCTCATTAAGAATATCCTTAAAGTATGATCTTCACTAATAAAGCGATTCAAGCTACATTCACTGAATAGCTTTAATAAATCACTTTGCCGACTGCCAAATGAATTAGTGCCTTTCCAATTGCGATCGAAGAGCAATGCCGCCGTTATAATCTGTTGGCGCACAATAAACTTTCTTAACGAAGTACAAACAAATCTCCTATACTCACGTTCACTTTTCTGACCCTGGCCAAAGAAAGTGACTATTTTTTCCGGCTTGTAATGCATTTCGGAGTGTAGCAGTTTCCACATTTGATGAAGATTTTGGCGATATCGTGGGTGGTTCGTGTCCGGATTCCAGCCACCGGACACCAACACGGCATGGTCACAAGTGGTATGAAAGCAAAAATCCTGAGATTTGGGACGATTTCCAATCGAACATCTATGCGCAGAATTGCCACTGCAAGGCGGTGAAAGTTCGTTCTGATCATCACGTTTTCCACAGCGTGCAAATTGGCGCGTACTTAGACTTCCATGGCAATGGAGAAGCTGTTTACGTTTTCCGTCGTTCACAGAATATACCAGCGGTATAAAATTGATTTCACACTTAACTTGTCTGTGGGCAATACGGTTTTTGCAGTGTACCTTTTCTGCTCTCCTGATGCATTCTTCCCGTCCTAAAAATGGAAAACTCAGAATTGAAAATTTATAGCATTTATGACCAGAAAAAAATAACATGACTAGGAATAGAGCCATTATAAGAACGAGATATTGGACCATCATAACGCCCCACTTTAAAATGGCCTTGTTTTGACTGATATGATAAATTTTCCATACAAAACAAACTTATGCGGCGTTACAATATAACATCCGTTAGTCACAAGAAGTGCTCTTGTTTCATAGGCGGTAGTTATAACGCAACAACAATCTTAAGATTCTTTATTTAAATCTTTTCACCAAGGCCCGCGACTGACACGATACGTAAACAGTAAACGTCAATTTGCTCATAGCGCTAACCTATGGTGATACACGCGCCAAGTCACGCATAAACACCCTCTGACTCACCAGTATTAACAGGAACACCATTCATGTTGCGACAAACAGTCTGATTCATATCAAAGTCCACCAGAAAAATGAACACAACATGGCCGAAGTTTGTGTCGGGATACGGATCAAGCACAAAGACCGCGTCGTAGGAGTCATTCCGGTGGGAACGTGAAGTCAGACGCCGCTGTCTTCTGTCTGGTAGTACAACTCTTAGGCTGGACTTTTTCTGGCCTTGTGCAATAAACAGTCTCATTTTGCGCGTATCCATACCGACAATCATGGAGTCATCGCACTGAGATCCTCTCGAACGGCCCCAACATGGTCTGGTTTGAAGCTTGTTCAGCGTCTCACGGATTCGAATGTCCCAAGCCAAGGACGAGTCCGTTGCTCCATGCACAAAATTGCTGTTGAGTGGCCCGAAGCCATACATGCAAACTACACACAAGATTTTTACCAACAGAGATGCCATTCCAACGGGCTTTTTAGAAGGTTCCGCTCAGTTCCAAAGATAACGCTGTTTTGATAAAAGCGGTCAATCTGTCAGTTTTTCTTTATACTCAGTAATAACAATAAACAATTCCGAGTTCCTACTGTGCCCTTGACGAAAGCGCCTTTTTCTCCTATGTCCCTGAGGTCGCCGGACACTTTGCCGACTGATGACTGGTCTTCACTGAGTGTATACCAGCGCGCCCGCTGCACTTAAAAATCTTCCCTTTTCCAAAATTAAATAACACAATTTTTGATTGGTTCGCGGCTACTTCTATCGCAGTGTTAATTATTTTGGCAATACGCGGTCATCTTGGGTCGGTGCAACTGTTAATCGTTTTTCACTTTTCAGAGATCTCGACAAACTAGCCTCAAATAATGAGGTTACTGTAGAATTAAGCTATACGCATATTCTTCATAACAAGAGAAAGAAAGCCGACAACAGATTTTACGATGATTTGTCTTCCTCTGGTCGTGATTGCGCTTGCTTCAAGAGGAAGAGAATTGAAAAGTTTCCCGCTTGCTCAGTCAGCAATAGATGCTAACTCTGCCCCGGAAATTCAGCCTTTGGCCACATCACGCCCACTGTGAAAAAAAATTTGCAATAAATGGTGTTGAAAGGGTACACAGTTAGCGGTGCGCGTGAAGCGTGTGAGAAATCGGTAATTTAGCGAAGAATTTTCCGCAAAGGAAGATAAAAAATTCACTCTAAAAGGTCATCAAAGAACTATTTTCAGTCTGGAGTGCTTATGTTGGGAAAATAATCGTTAGCACTTCTCCCGCAAAGTTTTCTTTAGGAAGGCGTGATGCTGTGACATTGTTATTGTTCGGCGAAATAGCGGCATTTTTGCAACTTTCACTTAAAGGGAGCTGAAAGCGCCCGCAAGAAAAATGATCTAGCTAATTGAACTTGTGATACTCCTGGCTGTTAATAATATTACATTCTTAAGTTGCCGAAAGTGTAAACAATGGACTCTAAAGTAGCGATATTTATTTAACAGATGACGATTATAGAGCGGGGCACTCTTTTATCAACCATGGAATATTTGCGCGCAGGTAATACTTCAAATTCACGCACGTTTTGCGTCTAAAATGAACCCGTGACGTCCATTTTTAAAATCATTAATTTTGATTAATCAACTCCACTTCCTGACGTTGTTTTACTTGGTAATTAATGCACAACGATTCTATTAGACTTTTCATACTGTATCGGAGTTATCTTAAGTGCGGAAAACCGCACAGTTAAACAAGTATGTAGAGAGATTTCTTAGATCGGTTATTTTCGGACGTGACGATGAAAATACTATCAGCCTTTATGACGTCAGATAGATCTCCAAATTCAGTTGCTTAAGCAAAATTATCGTCGGCTAACTTGGGAGTTATTCTGCTCCTCTTGGCCAAAATTGAACGGATGATGAAATCCCCGATAACGATTTACGAAGTCGGGTAGAGAAGTTGGGGGGAGGGGGATTGAAGAAAGGAAAGAGATTGGCAGGGGGCTTTCTCCTCCATAACTGTGCTTAATTGTAAAGAAAGTGTGATTTTCTTTTCTAGAGTTATTTTTTCTTCTAACGACATCGTAAGTGGGTTAACACCAATCGGTTGTATCGCCTGGATATGGAAGCTTGCCTACCAAACTCCTAGGCGCAGTGGTCGTTAGACAAATTTTGTTTGAAAGTTTGCCAACCGGTCTCTGATAGCGTCTAAAACTGTTAAGGGACTTATTTTTCGGTAATTCATAAACCGATTAGCTAATATGTTTCACTTAGCCGAGGGTTTCGGAAAGATAATAAGATAAAGGGAAACTGAAACGCCTAGGGAGCTGTAAAGTCTGTGCAGGAAAAGAAAAATCCAGTAACATCGACCTACACGACACGTGGTTACTGACAATATGATATGCTTAAATTTTTTCACGGTACAATAAGCATTTATATTCCGAGGCAGTGCAGGTCGGAAAAAATAACTTTTCATTCCAAAATTTAACACCGTAGCGAGACAAGACAAAAAGCAAAAGAAATATACTCAAATCTTCCTCTTAGGTGATTTTTCTGTTGCCCTGCTAACAATAAACTCAGCCTGAGCGAAAATGTCTTGTTCTCATTATTTATCCCTAATCAAAGGTGCTCGCGAGAAATATTAATTCCTCAGCAGTTGGCCATGACTTGAAATCTTTCGCTAGAGTCGCAAGTAAGGCTGTCACGTCCCGGAGCTTTTGGCTAAAATAGTCGCACCTTTCAAACGAAATTCTTTCAAAGGCAATTCCATAAGTCATCACATAAGCTCATTAGCTAAAAGGTTCGTAATAGAGAAAAATGGGCTAATTTACTCAACAAAACCATGGGCGGTCTTTGATTGTTTTTTTTTTTTTTTCATTTTCATGAAATAACTGACCGCCGTTCCGCTTTGTCTCGCGAGAGCAGTTCATAGCCCTAACGCAGCTTTAATCAATTTTTTCAGTGGGCCTCATAGAGTTAAAAAGAAAGCGAAGACGACAGATAAAGATTCCGTCACACTCGTTCAAGCGAAGACTCCGGAATCCAAAATGGGTAGCCTTTTAAACGTTAAATTTGAAATTTGGCAAAACTTGGTACGCAGTGTCAACATTCTTCTTTCTGGATTCTTCAGAAACATCATTACTGGCGACTTCAACATTTTTTTTTTCGCGTAAGAATGAGATGGACCCAAAAAATACTCTTATACAAAAACATAGTCCTATAAATCAGGAATAATTTATGTCTTATGTCTTAATTCACCCTGACGAACTGCCAATGCTCGAAACTCTTACGGTGGCCAATTTAAATTATCAACGAAGTTGGTGAAACCTGCGGCAAAAAGCCTCTTATGAGACCGTGACTGATCAGCGCACGTGCGTTAAGAACCTGGTTTCCATGAATCTTAGTCGTTAAGTTTCTTGGACTTATTTACCTTTTTCCAATCCCAGGGGCAAATATCTTGGTTAAACTACAATAGGGAAGTCGGCTGAGATCGGAATAAAAACTCAGAGAATTTGTCCTTAAAGCTCGCTTGATATTGTAAATTGATCGCGACAGGGGTAAATCTTTTTTACAGCCACGCTGTGACTTCTACATTTTGGAAAATTTACCTTAAACTTTTCCAGTTTGCCACTGTCTTTAGTCGTCTTCGTCTTTGGCCGTTATTGCTACGTCTTGTTTTATCATCACCTTTAAATATTTTTCCTCACTAATATATCAATATATATTGTATTTTTTTTTTACGATTGAGTAATTTTGTGCGTCCAGAAAATGACGCAAAACGGGCAACATCAGCACTTTTTTCATTGGTTAAGAAGTTGTAATTGTCTTAGTTTACCAATTAATCAGTCGCTTTTTCAAAAGCGCTAGTTAATAGCTAGTCACTTTGCAAGCTAAAAAAAAAAGCGAAATTGCCAAGAAATATTTTTTAGCTTTGAGGAATTCGGAAAACAATTCTTTTAATTCATTAATTGGAAAATGAGGTTTTTTTTTTATAGATATTACAAAATATGGCCATAAAATTGCCTGGTCATGGCGAGTTCAATATCATGTATATCTAATAGTATATTTGGAGCATTAGTACTTGAATTTAACTAATCACAACGACCGGAAGAAGTTCCGCATCGAAGCTCGTTTTAGATGTTCGTCACAACTGACGTTGTTTTTAAGCACTTTTCTCCTTCAAAACTCTAGAAAACTAAATATTTCATAAATTTGCAGATGCATGCAGATTTACGCGGAAAATCTACAAGAAAACTGAAACTCTCTGTATCTTTAACCTGATTGGCTGAAGTACAGTCTGTACTTGTAGATAACACACGCAGTTTGAGAAATAAGTTTTAAGTACAATACGGCTCTATTGAAGTTTCACTTTTAATAATTCCGACGATTTGAGCCCCCCCTTAGCGCAATGGGAATCGTAAGTTTTAAATTTTTTTTCTTTTATCCCAATAGAAATTATTGTTCGGCGGTTTTTTTTCATAGGGCATCATAGGGAAATGGTATTACAGCGGATTAGCTCTATAAGACGCGAGATAATACAAATTTGCTGAATGACCTAGGCAAGTCAAGCTGATGTTTCCTTGCGACAAAAGTTTTAGTTAAGATTAATGAACTTTTCACGGTTACTGCCTACGATTAAAATAGAAAACAGAGAGCAAAGATAGCAGGATAGGACTATCAACGGATCTTTTTATCGCGGCCGTTAACGACTGGCACAGAAAATATCCAACCCAATAGTCTCAATGAACAGGAAAAAAAAATAGAAACAGGTCACCGGATGAACATTGTCTGATAAAAAATGAGCTATTTTCAACTTATGTTCGCAGATATTGACAATAATATGACTGATGCGCATTTTGTAATGAAAGAAAAAGTACTCACGATTCTTCCTGAAGGTGATGAAATCAAAGGTCTTGTCCGAGTCAGTTTATATACGAGTTTCCATGTGATATAAATCTTTTACTCGATCGTTTTAAACGCTTTTGTCTAAATGGTTTAAAACAAAATAGTTGGAACTGATATTTCAGAGTCTGATATCTTTAAGAGTCAGGAAATACTGGGAGTTTTGGCTTTCTTTAGACAAGGTAGTGTTCTCAGAAACTAGTCCAATTTCGAAGAGGAAAAGGACTTGTACGGTGAGCAAGTCGCGCAACCACAGAATCACGATATTCTCACTAATGAAAACCTGTAAATGTATATTAATACTCCAAGAATAGCGATTAAAAGTTATCGTTTCCTTGACATGAGGGCGTGCGAAAGAAGGTTAAAGAATACTTACAGTGCTCCTTTAAGAGTGATCAGAAACGATGATGTGGAGTCGGTCAGAAGTCAGCGACAGTGATTGAGATAGTTCGAACGCTGGGTATATAAGCGTTCAGGGAAACACTGGGCAGGCTTGTTGAAAATTGAGAAGATAGCCAATTAGTGCTAGCTCTTGAACCGTCGATATCCCACGCAGATTAGCCGGATCAATTGTTGTTGAATGGTTCGCTTTTAGCCTTAAAGTGATACGCCCTGGATTAGCGTGTCTACCATCAAGTCGCCAACATCATCGAATCTCCGTCAGAATCTAGAGCACAATATATTTGACGTCGGGTCACTTTTTAGTCTGGAGACTTCACGTCTGAGAAACAGAAACTAGTTACTATAACAGCATCGTGCCTAGGTAGCATAGACGTATGCTATCTGCGCCTGGAAGCGGTGTTTGTTGTTGGAGATGAATAAATATTTGCATAACCTCCTAAGAAATACTATGCTTGCATTTTTACTGAAATGCGGTATGACTTTTTATTCTTCTTCCGATGAGGAATATCTTATGATATCGGTCTGATAGCTCTTCAAAATATCTTTAGAGATACAGGTTTTGATAATGACACCAAATTTTTTGAACCCACGGAGAGATTAGGGAAACTGATGGGAATTTTCATCACACTTGTGTCAAATGTCATAAATAAGTGATCAAACAAGGTGTAAGTACGTGAGAGTTGGCACTGTTTGCCTGTAAACAAGAGAATACCTTCGTCCGGCTGTGACGAAACTTCGGCGGGTGTGTTCAAATTCGCTGCCAGCTCACGAACTAGTATACGAAGGAAATCACGGGCCGTTGCGGTTCAACCGCAACATCAAAATTTGTAAACTAACCGACTTTGGGATAAAAATAGATGACATTTATAGTGCCAGAAGAGTGATGGGGTAATTTTTAAATGCGAGGGAGTAAGGAGGCCTCCTAGTTTCCATTTACATCATTATAGTTAGACTTTGAGGCCATAAAAAGCCCTGCGTGCAATGATATCAGCGAATCCATTTCTGCCTTCCAGACAAATGTTAAGAAAAGAAAAGTCACCCAATGTAACTTTGAAAAGATGCCAACATGTGTGCTAAAATAAGTAACGGCTTAGTGGCTGAAGTGGACAAACAAAACAACTTTGCATGCCTTCGGCTTTTCAAGAGACTTCGAATTGTTCGCTGTGTACGGAAGTTGTTATCCCTATTGTAAAGTCTAAAAAGGAACCGCAGGTATCGAAACAACCAACTTGTCACCGAGGAAGTTACTAATTATGAAAGTGCAAGCAATTTGACATTTATGAGCAATAGAAAGCATCTACGTATGACGTTACTGTAGGAGAATTGAAAACAAGAGGTACACTTGTTTTGATATTTTACCAAATTTGATGTTGTGGGAAAAATCTCCCCGGAGAGCTGCTGATTTGTCTGTTTGTATCATTACAGTAACAGTTACCAATTGAGAGAAGTGGCCATTAATGGCTTCGGCCATTTGGGAGACGTTGTAAATTTGATTTCATATATGAACACGCCGCTTCCGAGCGATTTTTTTTCAGTCTATGCAACATCTCTTTTCTATCTCGGACTTAATCAAATGTGATCTGTAGGAAGTTTTACATATTATTGCCTTACGAGGAATCTTCAAATATTTTTGTGTTTTGACTTCTGAATAGAGAGAACACGATATATTCGATTAAATCCGCGCGGATTTTTTTCTTGTTTCTTGATCTACGATCTCTCAACAGTGTTTTACTTATAGAACACCAAACATTTTCCCAATTCTTCACCACCATAAGATATTGAATCAGTACACATTTTAAGTTGTGTTACTTCTAAAAGCTGTGCGGTAAAACTGACAAAAAAGTCAAAAGTTCAAAAGTTCATCACAAAAAAAACATTTTGATGCGAACAAAATTTTCGTAACCTATGATTACTAGCATTTCAAAGACCTGTGTCGAGGCAACGGTCAAGAAAGTGGAGCAAAATCAACTGTTTTAAGATTTCCGTAGACTTAACTCAGTAAAATTAATGTCTCGATGTCACACTGTTACTGGCAACCAGCCGAAAGCCTCTAATAAAGATAGCTTAATGCTTCCAACTTACCTACAGATGCCAAGCGATGAAAACACGCTATCCGAGCCCTTTCATTGACCTCGATAAATGGCGAGTTTGAGTTACCTAAATACGCCGTATTGGCCTTTTGAAGGGGATTCATTTAAATGTATAAACTTTCGCGTTTCCTGTAAATCAACCTTTCCGTGGAACAGACCGCAAATCACCTCGGTCAGATTTCTGAATGCATCAACCAAGAGGACACCGAATTAAATCGGCACCCCGTGCTGCAACGTCAAAACAAAACTAATCCTAAACAAAGACTACAAGAGAGCATTTCCTCTGTATGTCCGAGCATCGAGAACACACAGTGAACTTTCTTGTTTTTGTAAGGAAGCATGTTGTTTTGCGACAATTATTTTGCCATTACGGCTAAATACGATGAGAAGCTAGGACGGAAAGAGTTTTGACCCCAGAATGGAAAATATGTCTTTTTGCGGTCTGTTAAAGCTAATTTGTAAACGAAACCGCATTGTATGTTTCTTGAATCGGAAAACATGAAACAGTTCGTGATTCCTTGACCTTCGAGACCATTTACTCAGGGTTTAGATTCGTAGACAATACGTACTTCTTTCTTAAATCTATGGAATTGCCTCTTAATGCAACGTGTGTGGTCTGTTCTCAATGCCGTTTTGATGCACACTCAGAAGAATAACATTTGTTATGTTTCAGCTAAGTACGAAAACATTATGGTTACATGGACGAAAGGTAATTAAAAAATGTAATTATGTCGTTGTTTCTCATCGTTTGCGATCAAACAGTTCCGTGAAAATTTATTTCAAAACTATTCGTGCTATTTCAAATTGTTTTTTTGGGCAGCATATAGCGTCGGTTTGAAAAACTTTCATAATTAAATCAGCCAGTCTTCTAAGAGATCGCATATTTTTGCATTTCGCCGAATATCTTAATCCGGCGGCTTTGGGTTTAAGACGTCTAGGAACGAGAGGTTGGATAAATACTAGAAAGACGACAATGAACAGACTTCTCTCCAAACGGAAACTACAGTGACGAACAAGAACAAATACCTCACGAGGTCAGCAAGAAGGAGATTTCGAAATTCTTATAGACGTACCTGAAGAAACACAGGAAATAACACAGCGAAACGTAATTGTTTCAATCCTCGGACATGATTCATGATGTTAACAGATATCTTATCACGTACTTCACACAGAAAGAGGGAATTTACACACGAATAGATTCGCTCCGTTTGATGACACTGCTTCGATCACTTAGCCTTTTCAGCTCTTGCGTGAATCTCCGTAGTTTATGAATGAACCTCATCTCGTGAGAGATCGTGGCTAAAAAAACTGAAAAATTCACGTCGAAAGCAGCAGTTGAACCAGAGTAGTATGCGAAAAAGAAGAATGAGGAAAGGGTAACTGACATGCTTATAAACATTGAGAAGTAGTAGAAGGGAACATTTGGAAATTAGGGCTGAGAATAGAAAAGTCGCATAAGTGTCAATGGAGATCGCTTCCTTTTCTTTCTTATGCCTCAAAGAACAATTAACCGAGCAGTAAAATGGAACTGGAAGAGGAAGTAGGGTGATATGCTAATTCTCCTTCACCTCTGAAGATTTTTTAATTTTCTTTTTCTTTGGGGGGGGGGGGGCGTAGTTGAGAAAGGGCCGTGGACTGTCAGTGGAAAGTGCGTGGGGATTTAAATGGAAGGTAAAAAAAGAAAGGAAGTGTACGGTACTCTCACATCCCGCCATTCCCTGCACGCCTTGGATTTCTGTTTCCCGGATGTTCCCGAGCGTTCTAGCCTTCTAAAAGCGGTAGACTACTTGGCTAAGAAGTGAAAGGCCATGGAATATTGCTGGCCTCTTAACTAAACCCCAGGTGAACCGTTTGTGAGGAAAGAGAAGACCAGGATGAAATATATCGCGCCTTCTGATAAGTATTACAAGTGCTACCTTAAATACGTTTATAAATACGAGAAGGCAAATTTGCGAGCAAGTCAAACTCTAAGATTAAGAACATTCTAAAAATTATCCCTGTAGTGAGGAATATTTGAAATCAGGGGAGAAGCAGATAGCATTCGAACTGTTCTCAGAAGAAGACTTCGCCAGTAATAATAACACAGGCAAACAACAATCATTCTGTTCATTGATAAAACTTTATTGCACATTTATGTACACATTGATGAGGTTACATAAAATATGATTACGATAGGATTTCATTTTCTATTGGAAGAACATATGACTGCTCATAAAATTCGTGTAGTCTGTTTAGATAATGATGTCACTATTGAGTGCTTCAGGCACGAAACGTTGGGCTGAGGTCGGCGAAAAACGTGTGACGCATGGCGTCTTCCGCTGATATTCTGTGAGCTGGATTAAGAACCAAGAGTTTCTAAGACAAAAAGACAGGGCTACGTTAGTGGAACTAAAAACAACAGCAATACTTTAAGGGCCAGTTATTTGCTTATGACAAAAAGTACATCTGTTAACATCGCTAAAATAACTTGAAAACACATTCTGAAAATTTCTGATGCACAGGACGCCATTACGGACGTGGGAATCTTAAATGTCGAAGATAGAAAAAAGTTACAAACGCGTGAAATTTATCTCTCATCGTAAATGCTAGTAGTCAATTTAAGGGAAGAGAAGACAAAGGAACTTAAACAAATGCTTTACATCGATAATTTGAGTGTTGATGTGGAAAGTTGGCATGTTGATAAGAAAATCAACAAGCATTCCAAATTCCTTTTAACAATGTTACCCCTACGAAAAACGTTGATTAAATGAATAAAACATGATTTCTTTTCAAAGAAGGGATCCTTAACAAGCCGAACATAAAGCGTTACTTTATGTACGTCTATGGAAGAAGTTGACGCTTACGACCCTGATAATAATCCTGGCAGTTAGGACACGCTTGTTGACCCTAATATGTGGCAGAGATCAGCAATAAACCGAAAAAGCGGCCTTTCCTCTGAGTCCTTGAAATCACCTTTCGAGAATCAAGGAATAAAGACTAATTTCTTCAACGGTCCTCTTTAGTTTTCTAATATTCATTAGAATATCAGAAGCTGAAATTTATCTCATAAAAGAACTTAGGATGCTGAACGATTTCACTTATCATCAAGAAGTCATCTCAACGATAACCCTATATTGCATGCGATAATTTAAAAAATCCATATAGAGAATGCAAGTTTGATCATGTCATGTTTACTCTCATATAAAAATGGACGAAAATATCGGGTCAAAGACAAAAACAAGTGCAAAACACTTTAAGCGACGTGGCAGTTGTTCTCAACCTGCCTCGCAGCTTCAAGATGGCGGCCAATAGGGTTAAACAAAGGGGGTCTTAAGTCTGCTTTTAAAATTTTGGACTGGCTTGGCATTCGAAACTGCGTGGTTTATTATCTAAAATAAATAAGCTTTTACTAAAAAGGGCGAGAACAATTTCCGCCGCTTTTCTTTATCTACATAACAAAGGTGGAACATTTAAACTTTGGGAGTAAAATCTGTGCAAAATAATGATAGTAATAAGAGTAAAATGTACTAGTTAATTTTTTTAAAACGGTGCCTCGCCATTTGTTAGTGTGAGAAAACTCATAATGGCTGGCTTCGAAGAGATGATTTAGACTGAACGATAACGATCATAGGGACATCAAGGTAGACGACGCCTTCGGATTCAGTTGTATTGCAGATCTCATATCGATTTAGATCTGATAAAAATGTCCTTATCCTTTCCTTAGTTATCTCCAACTGTTCTTTTAGAGAAAGCGACAAATTTCTAACTTAAAGCGAAAAGTTTCCCGTCACTTTTCAATGTCCTCATAGCACGAAGAGTTTGGTGGATTCACCTTGTTGATTTGTAAAAAGAACGGTGAAGAATGTACCTAAACTGTTTTGATACGCAAACAAAAACTTGCTCTGCTGTCTTCAGTAGGTTTTGCGGTAAGGGTATTGAAGATACCGTCTAGCGAATGTTGAAGGGCTATCTAAGTTACGGATCCATGTGGGTAAATCTGAATAACAAAAGTCATTCACCAAAAACCTTTTGCAATCCCATCCTTTAGTTACAATCATGTAGTGTTCAATTCATACCTGCAACAAATCTCTTCCCGCAGCGGACAGTTTGGGTACAACCACAGCAAACGAAACGGCCCCGGCGCCTTGAAGATGCGAAAAGTCCTAGAAAGTAAAAAAAAAATAAAAATAAACGGGACCGATAATGTCCGTCGTTAACTCCGTCACAATCCCACGACAATGTTTCCTTACTGTTTTCATAGCTATCGTCAGGCGATTGCTATGGGACAGCGTCCTGTCCAAAAGGACTTCATGGATTTAAATCTTATCGTGTAAAAATGCAGTTTAATCTACCTTGCAACTCGCGCTTCAAGTTACGAATTTTGCCCTCCCCGTCACCAATGGAAATAAAAAACTTAGAAAAGTAACAAAAAACTCCCCTATTGTTAATCACTTAGATTCTATATTTTTAAGTTGTATTCTTCAAAAGGTCCACAGTTACGCTTCGTCAAATGCACTTTTCGGACAGACATACCCTATTTAATCACTAGGTCAACCCTGATCTTTGAAGCTTTCCTGGTTTATGAGGACTTCATAGCTTAAAAATTTATTTTCTCACCTTACCGCGAATTTGAAAGAATATTTACAAGCGCTTGCTGGTCTTTGCCATGAAAAAGCGGTGTCGGTTATAAGCCAAACTGAAGGAAATGGCTGGTAAAATTTTCGCCACACGCACAAATCTCAAAGAATTTCATCATTAGTTAGGTTAGCGGACTAAAATCTACTTTAGTATTCTCGCAATGTTGCGTAGGAGTAAATCTAATTTTCTATCAGATGTCAGAGGTTCTCAGCGCCAAAAGTTCAGGTGTTAAGTGCATAACTAAGCATTACTGAAAAGTAACCAAGTGCGTGATCAATAAACGATATATGTCTTGAATTCCATGTGTCTTATTTTTCGCCTGATCATTTGTTTTGCTTATTTGTGACAAGTTAAGAGAATATCAAGCGTGCTATAGATTAAGTCTTTAAGTGGCGACTAAGTCCCTGACTTTCTAGAACAGTCTGCACAAAGTGCTCTCGAGCAATGCATGACTTCGCCCAAAGAGGGTAATTGAAAGGTTGCGAAATTTCTTCAATTTTCAAGTGACCTTTTGGGAAGTGACGCACGATTCCTATTCTTTTGCCTCTTTCCCTTCTTATTTCCTTGAACGTTAGCCTTCAATTTCTGTTTAGCTTAGTGTCACATTACAACAAGCTTTACTGTTCATAGATAATGCAGTTTCTCACGTAGAAAATTGAAAACCTTTCATCTATGAAGAACCGATTACAAATGCGTCCAAAATGAACAATGATACGCAAGCAGGCCCTTTCGACGTGTGAGAAAAGCCTTCCTAAAGCTGATTGCACATGAATTGGTCAGTTCCTTACGTAAGGCAGAAAACTGAAACCTTTTCATTCATGGAGGCCTCCTTACAATTGAAGATCAAGATGGACAACGATAAGTAAGTAAGCCCTTTCGATGTACAAGGAAAGCTTAAGCTCGCTAAACTTTTGACACAATCTGTGTGTATCATTTTAGTTCAACCCCGATTACAATTTACTTTCAACTGACAGTGATCGATTGTTTCCCCTCGAGCGTAATAGTATAAGCTGGACGAGAGACTAGATAGAGGTCTCGGATCTTTGCCAGCTTTCGCCAGAAATTTTCCAGTAGGTAGACAACAACTCGAGAGGGAAGACACTCCATATCAACGTCCAACTCGCTTATCGCTTATATCTGTATAAAGCTTATTTCATATTTACCCACAAAAGATGTTCATGCAATTTCAATTCTAGGAAAAGTATTTATAAAGATAAAAAAGCGATTTATTTGATAATGCACGAAGTAAAACACACATGAGGTATCAGCCCGTTTATTATGAAAGAAGGGAAATGAAAGAACACTGGACAGTTACCTTGTAATCTGGAAGTTTGATCACATTGGGCCATGTTTCTTCAGAGGGTGGTCCTAGGATTCTTAAGTATAGTCAAGGAATTCACATTAGATTACTTATAAACCAACTACTATCGTAAAGAAACCGTCGAAGCAATTCCAGATTAATCTGGCTTAGTCAAGCTACAGTCCTTTCACATGAAAGCAACGTGTGACTATTTCAACTCTAGATCTCGTGAACGAATTGTGTCAATTTGTCAAAGATAAAGTGCATTTTAATTACTTAGAACAAAAAGCAAAATCTTTTTAAAGCTCTAGTAAGGGGCGCGATTAATTATGGGCCGTTTGCGCCGCGCTGCGTCCGATTCGGCATACTCAAAGCGGCTTTCGTAAAAGCAAACTGATGTTTTAATCAAGTTAGACCAGAGTTCCAGCAGCTCTTGGGATCAATGATATAAGCGTTTCCGCGGATCTAGTGCCAAATTCATCGCAGTTTCACACGCGTGTTCCTTATTTAATTTTCTAAAAAAAAAACACCACTGACGCTTTTTAAAGAAAGATTAATTCGCCGGTCGCTTTTGAAAATCTGAACGCTATTCTTAAGTAAGCCGCAGAAAGACCAACTCGATGATTCGGGCCAAACCCAAAACGAACAACAATGAATCTGTCTCAACTGTATGCATTAATTGACTTTAAAAGGAATAAACTACAGTTAGCTAATGGTGAAGAATAAATAACCTAAGGAAGCTTGACCCAAAAAGTAACGTTGCGGGTAGATCCGCTATACATGAATAAAACACGAGAACAAACAAAGTCTGAAAGTATTTTTCCGTTTTATGATGACATAATACGCTTTGCATGTGTGTGTTTCTAGACTTCTCTTTAATAAGTAGGGCATCTTCTTGTCCGGCTCAACATGTCGAAGAAACAACCTCTGTTGAGAGATCCAACATATCAAAGAAACATCCTTGAATAGCGCCAAAAAATTTGTGAAAAGCGGGACAAAGTTGTCGACATGCCTCACAGTGAAGGCCTCAAGTCTCGCGTGGGAACATATTAGGAAATACCCAACAAGCTACCACCTGGTGGGGTGGGGGTGGGGGGAATTCGGCTAGGGACACGCCAGAAATGGTTTCTCAATTATGGCCCCATGTTCATCACAAATCTATGACTTTCTACTCTATTTAAACCAAATGATCTACATTTAAGAGGCCTCAATCAAATTAAGCAGACGATGCAAGACAAGAACAGTGCTAAACTACATGTTATCGCCTAACTTGTGTTGCATGTTTGTCTAAGACAGGAAACTGTTTCCTGTATCTAAGAACATGACACAATTTATCGCATGTAAACATTGCGGTTACAGTTTGCCCCCACTTGCTTAAAAGTTGTGCCAATTAAGTGGGAACAATGCCAAAGTCAACGGAAGGTCAACAAAAGAATACCTCGCTTTGTGTGTAACTCTAATAAATTCTCTGACGTATGTACATTTCCTGTTTAAGACATTAATTCGCGAATGTAAAAGTGCCCTGATACTAATCAGTTACATGCAGGAAGGTCTTAAAAACCATGCCAAGTATGTCTTCGCGTTTTTAACAAGTCCAAATAGGGCCTCAACTCACCACACCCTGATCTAGGATACATGGCTAAACAATCATGAGGTATAATGGAAAAACGTGTTGAAAAATTTTAGTGAAAATTCAACAAGAAATTAATTTCTTGGGAGAACCTCATTCGACCTCAAGGGCACCGTACACTTGAAAGACACCGTGCTTTTTTCAACCACAAACGCGCGGAATTGGTTTTTGGTGAAACATGAAAATGACCCAAGGTTAATTGCATTTCATTTTGTTCATTTTCGTCAACAAGGAACTAATAATTATGCAATCCAAGCACGTTATCTAAAATATGAAACCGTTAACATGCAAAAAACTAAGTTTTAAATTAAAACGAATTTTAAGTAAAAGTCTAAATACTACGGAATTGTACCTCTTTATTTCATTACCAACGCGTATTCTTCGAAGACGCGTGAAGTGGTAGATTCAAAGTTTCTTAGAAATAACAAACGGTGAACAGGTACCACGAAAACGGGCACAAGTGACATTTTGATCATTTTCTTTGTCTAACCTGTCTTATTGTTTTGCGTTCGATACAAAAGAGCATTCAAAAAAATTAAGAAACATTACATAAAAAATAATCTTTAAAAAGAGGATCTGTATCTTGCAACACAAACTGAGAAAATTGTTTTAGAAAAATGTATGCAGGTACCAAGAAGAGTATCTCTACGAAACAATCCAACAACAACGGCCAAACGGCCAAATTTTCACAGAATCATAACCAGAAAAAGGTGGCAGAAACAAAACAACGCACTTTCACGTCGTTCTGCTCAATTGATCCTTTTTTGGTAAAATTATCAGTGCGGTCGCTCAACCAAAAACCACTTTTCGTCGTCTGCAGCCAAATATTTATTTCTGTCACAGTTGCTCTGAGTTCTAGGAAAGCCAATTAAACTTAATCCTAGATCACATTCTCCCAAAGATTTCAATTGTCCTTCCTTAGACACGTTCACACCACATGTTTACTTGTAAGGATGATGTCCAACATAACTTTTTCGAGAGCATCAGCCTGTCACTAATGAAATCTGCGTATGCGTGCACAAAGCGTTACACGCCAGACTTAAAGGGTCTCTTGTTTTCTTTGTATAAATCGCTTTGCAGAGGAATCATACCAGTTCCTCTCCAAGGTATACAAGAGATTAACGACTTAGAATATTACAATGTGTACTTTGAGAACCCAGATAGGAATACAAACTTCAAAACAAAACAAAACAATACAAAAATAAAAATAAGAAATTAAACAAGAAAAAATAATCGTTTATCTGTGGAAGAAGTACATTAGTGAATGCTAATCCGGGATAAGACTGACAGCAACCAGCCTGTCTGGTCATGCTGTGCCTCTTTTACAAGATGTTTTCCGAAAGATTACGTGCCTCCCAAATAACAGGAAAGGAAAAGTTAACCCTTTTAGCTTGGCTGCCTTATGGCGATTACGACCGCACTCAAGGGCGCGTTCGGTTTTTCTAGTTTGAAATTTGGTTTTCTGGTAACCACAGCTTGGTTGATGGAAAAAAATTACTCAACAGAATATGCTCAAAGTACGTGTAAGCATCAGCTAATAGCTCTGAATAGCTTTTTGTTTACAGCACGAGCCAACATTGTTTGATCGAGGGTTCTTAACTACAGAGGGGATAAACGTGATCTCATATTGACAACACTCTAAGAGGAAAGCTTTCTTAAGAGTTTACACTTATCAACTTAGAGGACCACAAAGGTGACACCGACGAGTATCGAACAAAGATGAGAATGTAATGATAGATGAGTTTGTCATGTATCGTTGTTCATGGTGATAAATAAAGACAGCTTCGCGGCGGCTTTTCAGAAGAGCTCAAGTAACGACTGCTCTTGCACAGGCAGCCCAAGCTCAGCCAATCATCAGATAGCAATAGCAATATTGGGGGCACCTACCCGCCAGAAGTATATAGTAACAATCACCAGGGAGAATTACGTTTTTAACAGAATTTCTTAGCTAGATGTTTTAAATCAAAACTTATAAGCTTTAATCTCCAAATTTTTTTTCGCTCTCTTTGCCTTGTTTGTTTCTTGTTTTATTATTTTCCTTCAAGAACAAAAAATCAAAACAAAAAACAAACAAACAAACAGACCAACAAACAAAAAACCGCGAAACCCTCTCGTAAATTTCCTATTCACTTACGACAGAATGGCAAGCGCTTAAAATGTAACGATTATCAGAGGCCACACTTTCCACGGAAGAAGAAACTAGTTCAACATAGAACTCAAAAGTGGTCGAATTCGTAGGAGAAAACTGACAAAAAAAAGGTAAGGTAGGCTTTCTTAACATTCGCTCAAATTCTACTTGGGAACCGTAAACAACCATTTTTATTATGGATGTAAATACTCGGTATATATTGCGCATTTCGCGCAACAAAACACAGACGTTGATGTTTTGAGCTTGGACTACCTGTGGTTGTCCTTCGTTTTCGCTCTTTGGCAGAGCGACCCTGAGTCTATCTGATCAGAAGTTCATGGATTCGACTTCTGCAATCGCAATGTTTCCACAGTATTTCTACTGTGTGACTGATAGACACAAAAAAATCGACGTCTTGTCGTATCTTTCGTTTCAAAACTCAACGAGACGCGGAATGAAATCAAAATGAATATTTGAGGCTTATCCGAGCGAACGTAAGGTAAGTTTTCATGGTAGAAACAGCCAAGTGGAGAATTTTGATAGGATATCGCGAATCACCTGCACTGCACGCGAGGTTTAGGATGAGAGAAGCCAAACGGATGAGCTGATTGGACCATGCAAATCATGTGCATAGTACTGAGGAAATATCAAGTGCCGCCATGCAATACCTCACGTGCGAGGCCCTCAGCCACTGTGTTCTCCCGACTGAAACACTATGCTCATCTACGACTTCAACCTGAGACAGTCACCCGAAGCCAGAGGAAAGCTCCTTAACACAAATACGGATTAATTGTTTTTTTATTTTTGTTTTTTTAACATTTTTTCAAGGTAGTCTCCTTGGGTCGAAAACCTTAAGTACTCTTAGGTTCCTCGTTCAAGAAAAGACAGTACGATTAAGATAGGTAGTCTAGAAAATATGGTGCCGGCTGTAAATGTTAAGTCTAAAATCCATTAAAAAGGCTCCAGCTAGGTAGAGAAACGAGAGGGTCGCTCAGTAACAAGAGTATTCGTTTCGGCTATACGCAATTCAGTATACAGGCCAACATTGTTTTCTTCCAACGTTTTGAAGACGTAGACGAGGCTAAACGTTATCCAATATGGGAAGCACTCAAAGAGATCAACGTCTTATAAAAAATTTCAAGGTGTATGCTTCAGAAACCACAAAAGCGACATCAATGATAACTTTGTTTATAGAAAAATGTTCTTTCCTGCCAAACAAACACGATACGGCTTTTGTAAACAAGTCGAAGAATCAAGTGGGCCTATCGCTAACAAGATTTTAGGTAAACTATCCGAGAATCGACTTGTAATGAGGAGGTTCATCACAACACTTGCATATTCACACTTTCTGAAACGTATGGAAATATCCTTCATCAAAATGGCCAAAAAACCTAACGAAAACCTCTGAATTTCCAAATTTTGACCTAATTTCTTCTAGAGACATTTTGTAAAACGTAATTCCGGTTTTTAGAACGTCGCTTGTCTACAAAAATAGAGAAAGAAAGAGAATGATTTTAAAAACATCGCAAAATTCATCATCCCAGGTATATGGCGTCTTCTGCGGTCACCAGAATAATGAAGAACAGAGTGAATCTCGAACGTATCATTGAAAGTCACCAAGACCTGCATTTCCAACGTGTCACTTATGGGAACATAACTTGTCGCAAACCCAAACTAATCTCAACAACCAATGAGGACAAAAGAAAAGGAGCCAATCGGAACTCAAGCTGAAAACAATCAAGTTGCCTGAAGCGCGGGAAAACGCGAATGACCGATTCGCAATTGGTTTAAGTGTTGAATTTGATTGGTTTAGAAAATGGGGCGAATATTCTACACCATCACACAGCGAAGCAGAGCAAACCCTAAGAAATCCCGCAACAATTTCGATACTCAATTAAAAGTGGCTCTAGACTAATACCCCGTTCACACCAAAGCTTAAACATGTTAAAAATTTGTTTTGATAAACAGATTTAATAAGACTGGCCGTTCACACTGCGGGCGCGTTTAACAAAACTACCTCGCGAGGTAGTGTAACAATCGTGTCTAATAAAACACATTCAAAATGGCGGCAGAAACCAAAACGCGCGGAAGAGTTTGGGAGCACAAAGAAACCATCCTGTTCCTTGAAAAGTGAGGAGACGAGAATATCCAGCTACAGCTAAAATCATGCACAAGAAAAAAGCCTACATGGCTAGAAATTGCGGCATATCTTCGAGCTGCAGGCTATGAAGACAGAGACGACAGCAGCTGCCACACACGAATTCACACTCTGATAAGCGCCTATTTCTAAGTTCTCTACCCAATCATCATCGCTCCAGCCTTGGCAGGTCTCCTCCCAAAAGGATTGAGACCTGCTTTCTCTCCAAACTCGAGGTAAACTTGGAGCGCATCGAAATAGTTGCCGCGTCAACAACACTAAAAATACAGATGACACAAGACATCTGCGGCGGAGGTATCGGTAGAGTCATCTCCTGGCAAGCTTTGCGCGATTTTCCGCGATTTTTCGGCTTTCTTCTCTCCGTGTTTTCCAAAATAAAAGTACAATATTTCGCCCATCCGCTATTTTGTTTACATTTTACATGTTGTGGCTGTATGATATTGTAACATTTTACGTCAGTTACAATTACACGAACGCGAGGCTGAGCATGAACATGAGGCTGCATGGTTGTCAGCTCATGTTGTTCGGTGTGAACGGGTTGATCAGTTAACCATGTTTAATTAAACATGGTTTCATTAAACTTTGTTTAATTAGACATGTTTTAATGGTGTGAACGTGGTATAAGAGAGATGGTAATGAAATACCCTACTCTCCCCCCTAAAAAAAAAAAGAAGAAAAAATAAAAAAGGAAAACAGTTCTCACAGTAACACTAAATCAAAGGATACTTAAAAATACGTCGCAGTTGATCATCGATATCGTTTCCAGGAAAGAGAGGTCTGCCCCCGTTGGCCATTTCTGTAGAGAAATGAGAATATAGCTTGAGACAAATTCACTATGTGACACTTTTGCTTAAAACGGTCTCAGTCACTGATAAGCAATCAGTCAGGTACGAACAAGACATGATAACGACAAGAGACTTCACACGACTCGATTGGGTGTTGTTGGACCAAAAACAAAGTTATCACAACAGCCAATCAGAGCGGGGAAAATGTCGTTAAGAGCCAATGAGAACTCAAAGAAAAAAATCAAGCAAACTGTCTAAAGCACGGGAAAACGCGAGTGGCCAAGCTACGTTTGGTTTCAGTTTAAAGTTTGATTGGTTGAGAGAGCGGCGCGAGTTTTCTAGACCAATCATACAGCGAAGTCAGGTAAACCATTGCAATCTCGGACTGCTTTCGACACACACTGTAAATTGCTCTGGGCCGTATTCTTGCAACAATTTCTCTTCAGCTGTTTTGGATAACTTCCGTTAACGTAGATCTCAGGAGTAACTTGTGATAACCAACAGGGTATCGGAATGTTATACACGCTGACACCGCATACAGTTTTACTCGTTCTCCATGAAGATTATTCACAAAAGCAATTGAAAGTGAGAGCCGTATGTAACATCATTGACGAAAGAACGTGTACCTTGAGTCTAAAAATAACTTTTAACACTAATAATTTTAGTTTGGAATAAGAAAGATCAAATCTAGCAGCTTCATGGTCTTCTTGGCATACAATGATAAACATTTTCCCCTAGTTTTAAATTTATCAAACTCGTTTGATTTTTCTTTGTCTCGTATCTATTACTAACCATAATCAAAAACAAAGGAAAAATAGAACTAGAGTGAAAATAACCATAACAACAATAACGTTTTCAAGGGTTAAAATAATATTTCTTTTAAACTCTTCAACTCCCACGAGTGACTAAGAAAGATTTCTTCCTCACAGTATCAATACAATACCAAGCAGACAGCTGGTGACAAGAATAAAGAAAAATGTCGATTGAGGGATTATTGGTTGATCCAATACCAAATTCTCTGTACTAACATCTTGGAAATTGTATAGCAGACAATGAGGAGAATTACTAATGAGATCTTGGAGTGAAAGGGTTAACTGTTTGATTGCAAGAAAACATTGTAATGTAAAACATTCATACATTTTAACAGGACATGTATCACCTAGAAAAGCAACACAACTCAAATCTGACCTGCAAAAATACAGCCAGCAGACCACATGTCTATGGATGTGGAGTAGAGCTTTGCCCCCATGAGGACATCTGGAGGACGGTACCATAATGTTACCACCTGACCACAAAGAAATACAGAGACACTGCATGAGTGGACTGAGGATTATCCACAGCAATGAAATTCACATAAAATTACCTCGGCTGAGTAACAACGGACAGGAATGCCAAAAGCTCTGGCAAGACCAAAGTCTGCAAGCTTGAGTTCACCATCCTATGGGCAAAAAAAGTGGCAAGATCAACATCAACCTCACAGACATCATAGGCAGCCAGGCAGACACACTTACAAACTTGGTGTCACATTAAGTGGAAACATAATAAAGCCATCATGTAATGAAGGCTTGGAAGACACTTCATATCAGCTTTACTGGCTTAAACCTTTCACTCTTATGAGTGACCAAGACAGAATTTCTCCTTACAATATCCAGCAGGCAAGTGATGAGAATAGTTAAAATTATCAATTATGGGAATAAACATTTGATCAATACCAAATTCTCTTAACTTATATCATAAAACTAGTATGGTAAATAGTAAGGAGATTTATGAAATATTTCAGCAGGTGTTGGTTCCATGCAAATTAAGGTTCTACTCATAGTTTCCATTAAAAATGAGTCTTAAAGGGCATGGACATTTTTCTCCACATGCTGCTTGAAGATGTAAAATGTGTGTCTTGAAAAAGTTAGTGTTATTTCTCAATTTTGTTTTTCAGTTGTTCACAATTCCTTTCCCCTGCACCTTAGCCTCTTTGGCATTTCTCTGTCTCACCAAACTCCCTGAGCTGAAGGCAAAAATTGCTGGTTGAAAGAAAAAGGTCACAAATAACACATGAAGCTCCTTTTACCTGAGCTGGTTTCATTTAATAGAATGATTGAGAAAAAAGGATAAAATTATATTTTAAAATGCTATGTTGGGTCATACCTTATTAATGAGGAGGTTTTGAGGCTTCAGATCCCTGTGGAGTACATTGCAACTGTGACAGAAGGCTAGGCCCTTTAAAAGCTGATACATGAATGACTGGGAAAATATTAAAAAAATAAATAAATAAGTAAAATCGTTCCCACTCACTTCATTTCTTGTCCTTTATACCCTTGATGCAAAGCATTGCTGTTTAATTTTCAGCATGTTTTCAAGAAAAAATATGCTAATCATACTTCATTTGCTTTTTTTCCAGTATTTACAAACAAGTTCTGATAGATTATGCTGGGTTGACAAGGCACAGTTGCTCTGCATAATTATCTTGGTTATTTTGCAACCATGATATGGAAAAAAAAAATTTGTCAGGATTCTAACAGAATTAGATAAAACAAAAAGATGAAATTAGACAAAGTGGATTTAAAAGAACATGTACATCATCAGCTAACTACTGAGTAAAGTTACACAAATGTGTAAGTGAAGTGTGGGATCAACAAATGGTATCTTTACTGAGTTCTTTCTGGTAAAACTGATTCACAGTCTATATATGTACTGGCCCTAGGTGTAGTTGGAAAATGCTCAAAACACTTTGATAAGGAAAAAGCTTCAAACTTTTAAATTCCGTCTTTTATCCTCAGATCAAGGAAGATTCATAGAATAACATTATTTCAATATACACCTTGACAACAGCTGTGTCAACATCGCCCTGACAGCTGTCAAAGTATTTTTTGAGATCCTGAAAGAAATATTGTAATTTTGACAGTACAGTCTTCATCATCACAGAGGTAAAGCAACTACATACAATGAAACAAGAACATAATTATTAAGGCCAGAAATAGGATTACATGTGATTTGATTTGATCAATTGATAATGAGAGTCTTCAATGTCCAAAAATAGTCATGAATGGTTTTCTTTCAAAAGGTGTTTCAAGGGGTAAACATGACTTGACTTTTGGTTTGACATTGCTGTTATTTAGCCCAAAGACTGAAAAAACATGGGTCTGACGCTTACTAGCAAACTGCATTAAGGATGACAAATGCCTGACATCATGAAGATCATAAAATTAATAAACAATAGCCTCTATTTGTTGCAAACATATGCATGGATATTTGTCCACTGACTTTACCTGTTCCACAGTTTTCCAAGGGCAAAGCTCAAGGAAAACTGTGAGCTTTGAGGAACAGATAATATCCAAGGACAAATTTGCATGCATGTTTTTTCCCTATTGTGTTCATAATCCTTTAAATATTTTTCAATGGGCATGAAAAATGTTTATGAACAGCTTACTGCTTGCTGCATAGGAAGTTTTCGCTTGAGTGTTTTCTGGTGTGAGTTTATAACCAAACAAATATTTCATTTCTTCTGTAAAAAGCAAAAAATTCTCTCCAGTCATGAATTAAATTTCAAACATCTAATACTTATTGTCAGTAGTGGATGTAAGGTTTGGAAATGGGGTAAGTTTAGACCAATAATATATAGGCAAAAACAAAACGTATTTGACCGATCATAATCTAAAACACACAAAGTTATGTAAACTTTAAGTAAGATTGATAAATTCATTCTTACCTGATCACAGTACTCAAATACCAATGTCAGCCTTCGTTCACTATGCATTACATCATGTAGCCTAACAAGGATAGGATAAACATGTCAAGTTTTCTATAACCCTTTACACCCCAATGTCAGTATGCATATTCTCTAAACTGCTCTTTATACATTTCCCACAGTGCTGTCAGGGAGAATTTGTTTCCCAATCAAAAGCTTCTTTCCTTGGTGACCATTTCCTTTATTCTCATGACCTTAAATATGTGATTCGGGAGTGATATTGTAGGGAGAATTTTGATGCTAATCACTCTTAGGGTGTAAAGGGAATATGAACAATCACTAAAACTAAAAATTAAAAGCTATAAGAATATTTTCTCTTTTCACAACTTCATGATACCTTTTCCAGAAGAAAGGTGATGACAAGAAACTAGAAGGACTGGTTTAATTTAACACCAAATCCTCATAGCTAAAATTATATTAAAATAATGTATGGCAGACAGGATGTGAATTGATTTTGAGATCTTAAGACTGAAAATACAGTATGAATTTTTAAATATTGCCATGTGTGCAACCATTAGGATGTGAATCATTGCTGGGTCTCAAACTTATTTCTTTACAGTGAGATCAAATTTACCTGATTTTGCATCTTCTATTTAATCAATATCCAAATTAACATTTATCTAAGAGATTTAGCAGGGAGATTCACTCTGAACCTCTGATTTAGGCACATAACTCATAGAAGTTGCCATACATCTAGATATAAGACTTGGTCTTAGAGATTTCACATACCAGAAGTTGTGGTTTCAACAGTAATTTAAGGCAAACAACTGATAGGAAAGTGCTACTTCTTTTTATTAGCTGTTAATCACATATCTTCAATATAGGCAAATATACAGTCTTACAATAATTTACTTACCTTACGATATTCTTGTGCTTCAATTCCTTCAGGATGCAAATTTCTCTCAGAGCTGAGCTGGGGATACCCTTGAATTGAAGAACACAGAAACAAAATTGTTCCAACAAATGGAAGTTATAAATGATTCTTGAACTTTGTTTTTTAAAAAGTGGACTCTTGGAACCATATGCTTCTTTGTAAAAATACAGCTGACATGTTTTACAATTAAAAATATATCTACATTTAAGTAATACAGTAAAAAGCCTTGGATATTTAGGGCATATGAAGGTTGCAATAAGATACTCAGAAGAAGAAAAAGTAAAACATTATGGATAATTGTCCTTGGATTTTCACAAGTGAAACAATTGTTAGAGTCAATTGTACTGTATACGGAATTGATCTTAGCTCACGGCATATGTTTATTTTCACATTCCATAAGAGAGCATTTATTATTCGCTGGCGTGGCTATTAGTCAAAAAATCAAATTATGACGATTTCGGAAAATACAAGATTTCACGGGAATAAACTTTTAGACAACAGTACGGCGTATAAACTACTGCAATTAGCAAGGTATTTGTTATGATTATTCCGAACACTCATTTCATGAAATTGCTTTCGGTTTTCTTTCTAGGAAACAGTTTCCAGCCTAACAAAAAGCATAAGCATTTCTTGATATGCTCATCTAACTAATAAATAATAAAATGGACACATTGGATTTCCCCGGGTGATCACTGTTGGAGCGAGAAAAGCACAAAATACAACCTTCAACATTCTAAATAATTTACCTCATCGTCTTCGTCAAGCCTTACTCGCTTCAGCGCCACTATCTCGTGCGTTTCTTTGTGTTTTGCTTTGAAAACGGTTCCATAAGTACCTGCAGCACGTTATGACAATGAATTGAATACATTTCCCGCGCAGTGAGATCGCAAAGGAAATTTTGTAAAACGGCACTCTAGATGAATTCATGCGCAAAAAGCAGTAAATGTCGAAGGTATACCTTCGCCGATCTTTTCCAGTTTTTCATATTTCTGCATAATCCGGTGTCGGCCTTTTAACTATCAACATTCAGAGATACGCTTTGGCTTTTTCTAGCGGAATTAGCTAAGCGGATCTAAATGAATTCACCGACTCTTTCTGACGATGACAACAAATCATCCTTTGGATCATCCAGGCCTTTGTTGTTTTTTGTTGGAGATCTGAGACTAATGGGAAACCCCGCACAACAAAATAACGCGGTCTCAGCTGACGCCAAACAATCTGAATTTCCTCGGGGGAAGGGCTCTGGAGGGTAGTGTCTGGGCTATTTTGGACGAATGCTTACTGAAATTTTTCCAATTTTTGAAGGTTTAACTCCTCGGATGTGAAAAAATTATGGGCCCGACGTCGATGCGTAGGCCGGACCTTAGAAATTGAAGTTGAAAGCGAATCTTCTTACTTTTTTTATGGTTGTCTAGGTACCGACACACGACCAAGGTACGTAAAAATGGTAGTTTATTTCTGAACAAGTAGTGGCCGGTATTTGAGTTTTGTTATCGTAAAATACTTTTCAAAGTGTGGAAAATTAAAACTTTTCCCGATCATTTATTAAATATAGTAAGAATGAAATTATTAATACAGAAATGATGAACTTAGATCAGTTTCGCCCTCGAGTATTTGGACATGTAAGTGTATGTGGCTCAAAAGCTCTCTGAAGCGTTAAGTTAAAATTCACGTTTATTTAATGGCGTGGGAAAAATTCAAAAGCTAGCGGCATTTTCAGATATCGCCCTCTTAACAGTTAAGCGTGTACAGCATGCGTTGAGGTCTATTTGTAGTAGATAAATCATCCTCTAATGGGAGAAAAATATTCAATATCAGGAGTGTTTTTAAGAGTTCACGTTACTAATCTTCCGAGCGTGTACTCTCAAAACAAGCTTTGTATAAAACTAAATCTTCTTTACAGTTTACACCATGGCAACTTGCCAAAAGAGAAAAAAAAAACTTCTGGTCATAATAACTCTAAGAATTTATCGCAGCCTTGTAGTTTTAAACCTGAATTGATGTACATGAATTATAGCAACAGTGAGAGCATGTGAAAGCGTAAATGTATTTTGCCACCGGCTATTGAATACTAAGTGCAAGGCAGTTAATGATACAAGAGTTTTATTTACCCGAAAGCCGTATGAGACTCAAGTTATAACTTCACCGATTAAAGTGATCTTTTGAAAAACCACGGGGAACTCTTTTTTGGGCACCATGGATTGTTTTGGAATTAATGCAGGCGACTTGCTATTTAAAATTAATGGATTGAAAATAACTGTTATTCTCCATGGTTCATTTGTTTGGCTGTTATTTCATGTTAATCTCTTGTCTATGCATAACCTATTGATTTGCTAATTCTTTCTTTCTGGAAAATTTTATGTTGAATGTTGTGTGAAATCAGAATAAATCCTTTGATCAAAGAGGGTCTTTAAGGACTCTTTTGTTAATTTCAATGACGTTTGGCCAAATTTTTGAAAAAAACTGCATGGTTCTACAAGGTCTCTTATTTACACTTATAAGCATCAAGTTGTCGGTCTGTAGGAGAGTGTGTTCAATCCAAAACAGCCTGGAGGCTTTTCAAGGTCCTTCTGAAAGAAATTTTTACAATCTGTTATTTGACCATTTTTTTCTTACAATAATAATATTTATGAGTCACATAGACAGTACTTACAAAATTGTTTCTATGATAAACAGAAATGAATGTTGGTCTGCTAAGAAGTGTGTTTTGACATGTTTGCTTCATGTTCTGGTAATGTTTCTTTAAATACAGAAGTTGACCTAGCTAAACCTAAAGAACCAACACATGGCCCTGCAATTTTTGTAATCATGATATTCTTTGAAAAGCAGTGATCTTTGTACTGGTCCCATTTGTTTGAACATTCATAAACTCAATCTACAAGATAAATTAATCACCATCTTAGTTATTTATGTCTGTTAACATTCATTTACTAACTAATTAACTGAAATCGTCCTGTGTATAGTTTACTCCAACTCTGGGACTACTACAGCTGCTAGATCTTTCTAAAGAGCATCCTTATCTTATTGTAGCTATGTTAAGACACTCAGCATAGTTTGTTTTTGAAGAGCTAACCTTTGTATTGTGTCTAAAAATAAATGACTATCCCTTCTTCTTTGTTCTAAGATTGATCATGCAGCTGTGCAAATGTTTTTGCTTATGTTGTTCCTTGAAATGGAATTCAGAATAAATATTTGAAACAAGATTTATTTGTCTCTCCATTTAAGAATTGTGATCAATTATTTGTAATTATACAGAAAAATACAAATTTAATGAGGCTAAGTGTAACTTAGGCCAGTCTAAAACCAAGTTTATGCAACAGTTTCACTAGACAAAAGTGTGAATTTTGGTGCCTCATAAGGTTTGCAGGAGCACTGTCATATGCTCTCAATCAATTTTCTTTGTCTCTTTGCTATTTCTGGCTATTATTTTATGGTTACCATAGTGATACCTGCCAACAGTGTGCACTACTTCAGCGATTCAAACTAGCTTTTAGCATAGATTAATCTTATACCACTGCTCTGATGAAGAGGAATGCTCTGTGGTCAAGTTGAACTTTTAGTTGGGTAGTATGACTATCTTTCGAGCAATGCAAATTATTTTTTTGAGAATTAACCCTTAAACTCCAAATATCTGCTTGTTAATTCCCCCCTCTATCTATTACATGCTTCCTTGTAAATACGTTACAAGAAGTTTTGTGTTAGATCAAGATAACTTCTGCCTTAAGTTTGAGTATTCCCATTACCTGTTTGCAGGATTTTATATAGATGTTATAGGGAGAAGTTACATTGAATTTTTAATCAATCATTCCTGGGAGTTAAGGATTGAAGAATGATGTAAAAAATAAATGCAGTGAGGGAAGTTTGCATTTGGACAGTGAGACAGGTTAAAATGATTTGGGGCATACAATGTACTACTGGTTTCAAAAACATTTCCAGTTCATCTCAGGTTGAGTTCTCCAGGATTCACTCCTGATAACTAATTCATGAACAGCACAAACTTAGTTTAGTTTGTTTGATGTGCATGTGTCTGTGTATGTGTCTGTGTATAATGCGACATGTTAATTATTAATTCATCAAGCCTTAAGTTATATGTAGATCCATGTTGTGATGCTGGAGCTAGAAATCTGTTTCATGGAAGTATTTGCTCTCCTGGATTTCCTCTTAATAAGCTATTCATTAACAGTAGAAATTTAGTTTAACTTGTCTGATGTGAAGCTGCAAGTAAGGAGCTCTTGATTTTACAAAACAGCTAAATGTAGATAAATATTATGCTTTATAAGAAATCTCAGTATGAAGGTTTTCAGTTTTAGCTGGACTTTTTGTCATAGTACATGGTAAAGACTTAGCTGCATTTTGTCAAGATTGTTGCAAATTGATTAAATATTGATTTAGAAATTAGCTTAACAGGTGGTTGTTTTTTTTGTATTTAATTTTTCAGTTTCTCTCCTGGGCATTAGCTAGTTGAATATCATGCAATTTTAATCAAGATATTTTAAATTTTAAGCTTAATCGGTCCAGTTTCACCTCTCAAAGTACATTTCATTTTTATGACTTTGTATAATCATTATAGTACTCATTAACATATCTTTTGATGCTCCAGGTACTGTAGATAATCATGTTTACATCTTACCCTTGGTCTTATGCAGCTTTTTGCCTATTTTATCATGCAATTCCAACATTAATTGAGACAGCACTTGCTATCACTACTTGCATGGTTTTGTGCTGGTTTTTTTTTCTTCAAGTTTAGGGTTTTGTACATCCACAATTTCTTTATTTTTTCATCAAATTCAGGTAGCTGTGGCACAAGTGAATTTAAATGCTTCACAGATGAATTTCAGCCCAAGGAGAGGAAGTTGATAATAAGATAGTTTATTCAGCAGGAGTAAAGTGTCAGGTAAATTTGAGCTCTGGGTAGTTTCATATTGTATGAGCAAATTTATTAAATACAATTTTTTAGTTATTATGAATGTGATTGTGAATTTCTTGCCTGTCATTTCAATCCACTTTGATAAAGGGCTAATACTCAAAACATCAAATCAGTTTACAATGGCCTATTCACATTAACAACTCTGTTGATAAAACCAAATTATCTAACTTGTAAATTACTCGCCATTGACTTAGCAAAACAGTTTCTTTAGGTTAAGAAACATACCTCCTTTATCATGATGATTTTTAATAGACTACATTAATTTAAGTTAGCTTAGTTAGCTTGTGAGCCACAGGGACCATACTGCCAGAACTTACTGTCTCTTACTCTAGTAGCATGTGAAAGTAGTCTTTCTGTTTTCCTCCTTTGCTGGGATGCTTAAGTCTATCCTAGAGACAATTGCCCTCAACCCACAGCTCTTTCTTTTATTCCCTGACAGTACGTTGGTACTCTGCATTGTTTACATCCTTAACCTTTTGGCCATGACTTTGCAACCAAAACTGATGGAATTTCTTCTTCCAATATCAATACTTTTTCAAACAGTAAAGTGATTAGAAGAAACAAAAACATTACCCAAGAGGATATTGCTTTTATTTAGAACACCAAATTTCAAGAGCTAAAATCGTATGGAAAGTGAAGCAGACAGTGTGGAAAATTGACACAAGAGCATAATTCAGTACAACAAGATCTGTGAGAGAAGAAGTAGTTTTAATAGTAATATTTATTTTTGCATCTGTTTAGGAGCTATGAGTGAACCAGGAGACCAAGTAGCAGTGGGTGGGCGGAGCATGTTGGACAACATGGTTGGAGTTGGTGACATGGTGCTTCTTGAGTCCTTGACCGAAGATTCAGTGATAGAGAACCTTTGGGACAGATACAATAACAAAGATATCTATGTAAGTTTTAAATGAATTCCCCCAGTAGAACCAACAAATCTACTTGTAAATTGAAAGTCAAATTACATTGAAAAATGCTGTTTTGAACTCACACTTTTGTCTGTTGTGCTTGACTTCTAAAGATGTATAAACAACATTAAAAACATGAATTGCTAAAATAATACATTCTTTATTGAGACATCTTAGAGCTTTTGTTGTCACCCTTTACTGTTTCACACTTCCATCCTTTGTATACAATTAATACAAGCATCACAAATATGAGTATTTCAAAAATTAAATATTGTGTGATATTACATTGTACTTCCCCACCTGCCTTGTGATGATCACCAGATGAATTATATTTTACCATCTGCTTCTAAATATCAGTTGTTGAAACATATCAGATTTAAAATTGATTCATAGGTTAATACCTAACCATTTTCTCTACCTAACCAGTGCATAATTTATGTAAATCTGGTAGACTGGATGTACATGCGCATACATTTAGACACTGTTACTGTCAAGGTTGGCTGCATTACCCATAGTTTTTACAACAATATTTATTATGGAGTTGTCAAGTTTGCATGACATTAATTTACAGGAAGTTAATGTTTTTCAGTGGTTATATAGTTATACAAGTATGACTTGTACAAAATAAATTTATCAATATTACCTCTTGATAGTAGCTTTGAATGAATGTACATTGTACATGTCTAGAAAATATATTATGTAGTAAGGGAATGGGGATGTCATATTTTTTTTTCATTTTATTTGCAGACTTACATTGGAGATGTGGTGGTGTCAATCAATCCTTATCGTAAATTCAACTTGTACACTCCTGAGAGGATAGCAGAGTACAGATCTAGAAACATTTATGAGTTACCTCCTCACATGTGAGTACAGCTCAGTGTTTGAAAACAAAGGATAAGGAACTGCTTTGAGTCTTTAGAAGCTGTAGATGTGGTGGTATAATTGCTTTTTCAGTCTGTAGCCTACAAATTGTGGATCAAGAAGTCTGTTTTTTATCCTTGGCTGACATCTTTGTTTAGTATTCTTGGGCAAGACACCCTTGTCACAAAGCGTTCCTCTCTTGATCTTCTTGGGACAAAATTTTAGGAGAGAGGTAATGCATGAAGCCCATCCAGGGTGGCAGCCAACTCATCAACCAGTCAGGTGCAATACCATAACCCATTACATCTTAGTCACTTGCATTTTCCTGTCATTCATGCAGTTGTAAATGCTTAGTCTTACTTTGAAATCTCTCTGGCCCTTTGAATTGTAACTGTTTCTTTAGCTCTAATTTAAGCTTTTGCTTAAGAGCACACTTTATTGAAAACTTCCCTTATCAAAACTTGGTGGTTGGTGGTTGTTATTTTGCATTTTCTTTAAAACAGCTATGCCATAGCTGATGATGCCTACAGATCCATGAGAGATTACAACCAGGATCAGTGTATTATAATCTCTGGTGAAAGTGGAGCTGGAAAAACAGGCAGGTTCTATTGTTTGATACTGAATCATTTTGTGTGCTTCATCAGTTAGCTTGTTATCTGGGTGTTTCAAATTATTTATGCCTGCCTGCTGCTGACAGGATTGAAGTCACCACTGATCTTTCCAATTTGTTTCTTCAGAGGCATCCAAGGTTGTTATGCAGTATGTGGCAGCGGTGTCTGGCAAAGGCTGGGAAGTGGACAGAGTAAAAGAACAGTTGTTGCAGTCTAATCCTGTCTTGGAAGGTTAGTGATATTTTGGATAATTATATGAGTTAATGCTTGTCACACATTTCATTGGTTTCTCATATCTGGATCTTAGATTTCTTGTTCAAAGGAAAATGTGTACAGTAAGTAAGTGTGAGTGTTGTGTGTGAGAAATTGGAGAGTGGATCAATGAAGTAACAAGTGGATAGATTTGTTAGTTCTCCTATACAAAAGATAAACTAAATGAAAGGATATTAGAAAATGAACAGGAGATTGAAAGAATACGGGAATTAATTTAATTGACTAATTGATGAAAGGGTTGATTGAATTAACAATGCAAATTAAATTGGAAAAGCAAAGGAATGAGTTAATGAATTGATGAGTGGTTGATTGATGGAATAAATGAATGAATTATTGAATGAATGAATGGTCAATTGATGGAAAGAATAAATGAATGAAATGAACAGATGAACAAAAGAGAGAATAACTAAAGGTGATGGAGAGATGATTGAGGAGGTTCAAAGCTTATTGTTTGTATTATTCAAGAGATTGTGCCTGGTTGGGCATTCATGAGTATCATGTTACTTTTGCAGCATTTGGCAATGCAAAGACTCTTAGGAATGACAACTCATCTCGTTTTGTAAGTGGATTTAATGAGAAATAATGTTACATGTACATGTAGCTACTGTCAGTAGATTCTTCCAATTCCTTGATATTAAAAGTTTGTGCATAATAAAGGAATCTTCATGATCCTGGGCTCCATGGAAATTCCTAAAATTTTAGTTTCTTATTTTTGAGGACTTGAACAGTCCTTTAACATGCTGGATGATGAAAAGCATCGGCAACTAAAGGCTGATGGACTTAATATTTAGTATGTGCTCTTGAGATTCTTAGAATAAGCTGTTAACTGCCCTTTTCAAATTTGGTAGTTCTCAATTTATACAAATCATTTTCTCAATACTTCATAGAACTTTTGAATGTTGTTTACTTAGAGATAATGATTCAAATTAGTTTCAAACTAGTTTCAAACTCTTTAAAGTGAATGATAAATTTGTAAAATTTATGTTTGATTTTTTAGGGAAAATATATGGATCTTGAATTTGACTTCAAAGGTGATCCAGTTGGAGGAGTCATCACAAAGTGTAAGAGAGATAGTGTTACATCAGTATTACATTTTGTGAATTAATCACACTGTTATTTTCAGCATCTTTTTAGAGGAAAATTTCTAATCACTTTTAACTCTCTCATTTCATTTTCAGATTTGCTGGAAAAGGTAATTTTAATTCTTTGAGGTCTGGAACAAAGTAACCATACACTGACATTACTTTATTATTTTGTTCACATGCACAACACTTTTACCTAAGTTTGCTGATTACTGGAAGTGTGCAGGATGGTTGAGGTGCAGAAAACTAATCTATGCCTCAGTGATAGGCTCAAAGGGGCTCAGATTTTTGAAAAATTGAATAAAATCTTTCCTTATCTGATAAATGAGATCAAATTTACCATGATCTCTTCTTATCCTTTTATAATAATTTGCTAATTAAATTTTTTTGATGAATTACATTTATTGAATTGAAATTAATCTTCACTCTTTGCATATGCATGAAATGTGATTTATTAATTAAAATTGCATCTTAGATGCATTCTTAATTTTACATGCTTCACAACAATCTGAATTTCTCAATGAGCTATTTACTTTGTTATATTTTTGAAAATGTGGTGTACTCAACACATATCTTTTCACAACTTACAGTATTTCCTGTTTATGTTATCAATTACTATATAACCCTGTCTCTTGAAGCAAATATGTATCTGGCTTTTTTTTTAAACAGTCCCGCGTGGTACATCAAGCCCAAGGGGAGAGGAATTTCCATATTTTTTACCATCTACTCTCTGGTGCCTCTGATGAACTTCTTGGTAAATTATTTTGCAATTACTGTAAATAAGAGAATTATAATCCTGTAAGGCTTTTTTAACTTATTTTTTATGGTGTAAAGTCCAAGTGAAATGGAACTCTTGTTTCATTACTTTTTTCCTTAAATCCTTGCCTCTTCCTTAAATCCTTACCTCTTCCTTAAAATCCTTGCCTCTTCCTTAAATCCTTGCCTCTTTAAGATGTTGCTGGAATGCCCAATAGTGAATATCAGCCATGCTGCCTATCGTAAAGACAAGTGCTGTGGTCAGCATTTTGTTATGTTGGGCAATGTTAAACAAAGTGTCTTTTTTTTTTTCTGGAGACCTGTATTTTTTCTGGCAACTGTTTGAAAATACACTGCTACTATTCAATAGACATATCATTCTGCATTGCATATTTTCAGATGATATGTAACTTTTAATGAACAGTCATACAGGTAAACCACCTCATTTCAACTCTTGCATCTCTACTTGAAACAGGGAAACTTTGCCTTGTGAATGACTGTAATGATTACACTTACCTCAATCACAGTGGATGTGTGAAGGTCAATACAATAGATGACAAGAAGGACTTTGTAGTAGTTGAGGTTAGTGTCTCAAGATTACTCTGCATAGTATGTTAGTTCTAGAATGTTTACAAAATGATCACAAAAGCTCAGACTTTGTAATTCGAGTAGTTCATCTTCGAAACCTTTTTGTTCTCTTTGTAGTATCTTCTCGCAAATCTACACTTTCTAACAGAATGTCCAGATTCTTCTTTCAAATTGGTTGTTCTCTAAAGATGCATTTATCACAAAGATGTTATTCTGTGTAACTGTAACATAGTGCATATTTTCTTCATTTTGATTGTCAACTAATTCCTCTCTGTTTCAACAAGAGGGCAATGGAAATTGTTGGGTTCACTCAAGAAGAGAAGTTGTCCATTTACACTCTTCTGTCTGCCATTTTGAACCTTGGAAATGTTGCATTTGATGAGGCTGTTGATAAAGTTGATGGACATGATACTGTGGCCCCTACAAATGAGAAGTGTAAGTTCTCTAAAATTTGCTTTACGGTTGGCAGATAATGTTGAGAGGTCAACTTCTACTCCTCACCATGGCTTGATCCAGGCATCAAACACTGTTTCAGACTGTGTAGATTCTTTCCTCATGGAAGTCTTTTTAAAAGGGTGAATGAGTTAAATGAATTTTAAGGTTGATCTATAATTATGTATCACCAATTAGTAGCTTGGTGCTTTCAGATTTTGGCAGATTTCTTCACTCATTCACTCCTTTCAGTTGGATTGTAAGTTCTCGAAGTACTTTATTCACCCTCCAGAGGCTGTAGATTAACAAATTAAAAATAGCTCACTGCTTATCTAGAAAGAAATCCCTTACAGGAAAGGAATGTAATTTCTTTTATACAATCATGTATGTTGGCATCTATAAGTCAGAAATGGAACATTATTTTGTTTGGCTTGTTACAGTGTAGTCAGCCTGTATGGTTTACCAACTGTTGTTCACCTCAGTGTCTGTGAAGGTGGTGGATATTTTTCACATCGCCTTGCATCATGGCAAATATCCACTGCTTTTCTTGAAACTTCCACTGATTATGGTAATTTTTCACTTCCTTATCAAACTCTTATAACAGACCTAGACTGGGCATGTGAGATGCTTCAGTGTGGAACTCAACTGTTGAAAGATGGTTTGTCTAAGAGAACTGTGCAGGCTGGTAACGAGAGGGTTTCAACTCATCTTACCTCTGTGCAAGTATGTTTTTCATTGTTGAAAAGTATTTAATCCTAAATATCCTGCACTGAGCATAGTTAAGTATCATAGTGTCCTGTTCACATGCAGTGAAACTCCTTTGAAAGGGTGCCTAGTGGGAAATAGCTAGTACTTAGCAATTAAAAGAAGGTGGCAGCTATGAAAATATTATCTATTAGAAATCACTTACATGAATGCATGCCCTTTATAGAAAACCTTCTCTTAACAATCTTGCACTTGCTAAAAGAATATCCAACAAATGTTTTGTGTTTCATTTACAATGCTCAAAGACTGCTTTCCTAGTAAAGAGAATTATTGTATTTCTTAAATAAGTAATTAAGTGTTTGTGCTTAATTGTGTACAGCCCACCAAATTAAAAGTTTGTTTGAATTTAAAATCTTCCCCCTCTATTTGAACCTGTAGAGATATTAATAATAAATATCTAACAAACCTCATTTTCTCACCTTGTGCTGCTAGTTAAGTCTTGTAACTTACAATACGAACCTCAAGCTGGGTTAATGTGAGGTCTACATAAGGGTAACTTGCAAAATTGTTCTTGTTGTTATTAATCCTATCTTCTTTCAGGCTTACTATGCCAAGGATGCTCTCTCCAAAGCTATCTATCGGAGGATGTTCTCTTGGATGATTCAACGGATCAATGAGAGCATAAAGGTAATTGGTTCTTAACCCTTTATCTCCCAGATCAAATTTATAACTCTCCTTACTGTCAACCATACCATTTTCATAACGTTAGTTCAGAGAATTTAGTATTAGATGAACAAATTATCCCCAAATTGATATTATTCTTTATTCTTATCATTTATCTGGTTGATATTGTGTCAATATTGTAAGGAGAAATTCTGTCTTGGTCACTCACAGGAGTTAAAGGGTTAATTCAAAGGGAAAATACGCTCTTCATCATCAAGAAAAGACGTAATTTTGAAATGGAATACATTTTCAGCTTCAATTTTGTTATTTACTGTAATGTAATACTGCTTGTGATATGGTGTTTCTCTTTAGCAAAGGTTTTGTTTTATTGTTTCCTCAGGTTAAAAAGAAGGGTAAAAGGAAGGTGATTGGTGTATTGGATATTTATGGCTTTGAAATATTTAAGGTACCTACTCTTTTGTGTAGTTAAAGAATGCATGTTCTTAGAATAAGAGAACCTATTAAGTTCAGGAGGACTTCAATTTTCTTGTTTTTATATAGATCTGGTAACATTGTACATTTGACAACTAAATCATCTAGCACATTATTTAATGTGGATTATACCACAAACACTCTAAAAAGCTCCCTCTCCCTAACAAGTCTCCCTATTTGTCTCTATTAAGCCTTTGTTTGTTACCCTAGCTAGACTCTTATCACCCCACCAAACAGAATTTGCAAATACTGTACTTTGTAGTGTTATGTGGAATTTATTTCAGATATTTGTTTCCATGGCAAGCTACAAAAGTATTGGAAACTACTTAGTATACAAGTATTCTTACGTGATTTGAACACAATAATTTTGTGTTCAGTTGCTTTTTAAAGTGTGAAACCTTTAACCCCTAAGAGGGATTGGTATCTAATTTCTCCTTACAATGTCACCCCTGAATCACACAGTAAGGTCATGAGAAAACAGGAAATGATCACCAAGTCAGTAAGCTCTTGATCATTAAACAAATTCTCCTTATCAGCATCTTTGAGAATGTATAGAGAACAGTAAGGAGAATATGCATACTGATGTTAGGGTGTGAAGGGTTGAAGTGTGGTAATTTAAATCATTTTCAACACTTATCCATAAGTGGTCCAGCAAAGTAATTCAGTACTTTAAATTTTCCAGAATAACGGTTTTGAACAGTTTATCATCAATTACTGCAATGAGAAGCTGCAACAGATCTTTATTGAGCTGACTCTTAAGTCTGAACAAGAGGAATATATCAGAGAGGTAGGAATGTGTGGTTAATACCTCTCTAGAAGTCAATTAGTCTCCAAAGGCATCACAAAATTTCCATGTTCAAAATTTGCATTTGTGAAAATTTGGAATGAAAATGTCTTTATTTAGAATTATGTAACCTCTATGGGTTGCCATGTATAGTTTAATTATCATAAAGTTGTCAATTAAATTGTCATTTTGCAGGGTATTGAGTGGGAATCAATAGAGTACTTCAACAATGCAATCATCTGCGATTTGATTGAAAAGGTGAGTGTACGAGTGGTGGGTCATCTCTAGGGTTTCTTACATCACGTATCCACCCGTGTCCCTTACATTACATACAGCCAGAAGCATAGAGGTTGATTACATTGTATACTTCTGACACCGGTCCGTTGCACCTCTATTCACTGTTTGACGGCTTAGCTACTTTAAAAAAAAAAAAAAAGACAGTCCCATGCAGCGAAGGAACTCGTTCGTGTCTTGGGTTGTTAACGCTACATGTACATACATTGCTTTCTCTTGTTATTTGTTGTTGAGGAATTTTACTGTTCCACATTGTATTGGTTATGCACATGCTGATCGGGATAGCATCGTTAGTTTTTCCACCTTTCACTGATTCACTTTTACTTTGTGAATTCGAGTACTTCATTAACAGCCCGGTACTTCTGTGTTATTTTTTATCACTGGTCATGATTCCTGTTGCACTCGTATAATCCTGTGACAACACATTTTACACACATTTAATAACTTGTTAGTTGTATCATACTTTTAAAACATGCCTCTATGTCGGTTGCGTTGTTATGATAACGAAGAATCGATCATCCAGTGTGACCGTTTAGGTGAGAGTAGTCCTGAAAAGGACTGTCGTAAGTAGCAGTGTAGACATCAGTCTCATTGCCGGACAACTACACCTCATGAAATATATGTTATTTACCGGTGGGAGGTCCGTATTGGCACATTGTTTGCCCATAGAGACCGACCTAGACCGGTAATAGACTTAATTGATTTCAATTAATGTACAATGAAGAATGTTTTATGCAAATTACGTTTCTATCGTTTCGTCTCAGACCCATGTGGGAATCATACCACTTCTTGACGAGGAGTGTTTAAGACCAGGAGAGGTGAGTACGGTCTTTCTAACCTCTACCTTTTCTCCTTACAATTTGATTTTCATGTTGGATATCGGAATATGGTAGTTTGCAAGTTCAGTGGGTACAGATAGAAAGATGAATTAAATGTGAGACACTGTGTACTCCAAGGAGCCACAGTACGTCCTAAGAGACTGATGTTGAAGTATGGAGTCATATTTTCTCACTAACGCTATTGCACTGGCGAGAAACCATTATAAATTTAATGTTTTTCCGATATCTCTATATCGATATCAAGCTAACTCTCTTACTCCCATGAATGACCAAGACAGAATTTTTCCTACAATGTTAATACAATATTGGTCAGACAAGTGATGAGAATAAAGAAAAATATCAACGAGGGGGTCATTACTTGATCCAATATCAAATTCTCCCCGAACCAAAATCATAAGAATTGTGTGGCAGACAGTAAGGAGAATTACTAAGAAGATATTGAGAGCGAAAGGGTTTAGAGTTAAAATACTAATTTCTTCTTACAGTCTTACCCTTGAATTAAATATGAAGGGTAAGAGAATAACGGAAATGATTATAATTTAGAAAGCTCCTGATTGTCAAACAAATTCCCCTTGTCAGTACCAGAGGAAATGTAAGGAAAACAGAGCGGAAAATGACATGAATACCAATGTTAGAGTATTTAAATCACTGATTAATCGACTTAGTTATCAAACCTAATTGCACTCACTTGGGTGAGTGAATAAATGATTCAAGGTGTAAGTGTGTGTAACTAATGCTCTGCTGGTAATGTCAATGTTGTCGTACATGAATTTCTCTAGGTCAGCGGTACGACGCTCATTGCTAAGCTCAACACGCATTGTTGCAAGCATCCGCACTACGAGAGCAGAGGAAGCAAGAAGTTCCTATCTGATATGACTTTGCCACACGACTGTTTCAGACTCAGACACTACGCTGGGAGCGTAAGTAGTTAACCGAAAGCCGTCAAGCTTCTATTCATGATTTTATAATAAATGTGGAAATTCTCGAGTGCTCATATTACAATTGAAGGTCGCCAAAAGGGGAATTTTTGAAAGTTGAACCTGGAGCCCTACCGGTACTACGTTCTGTTTCAACTGGAAATTGCTTTCCAAACTTTTTTCCCAATGCTGCAAGGGTCACATTAATAGTGTGCCTTTCGGGCAACGGAGCTTTGAATTTTAGTGAGAGGGGAGGATAAGGTTTTCATGCTGAACCATAATGAAGCCCACCGCAATGATACAGGCAATAAGCAGTCGATAACAGGTCGACAGGGAGGAATTATTTAGTTGGACAACACATCATGGAAAAGTGAAAGTTTTTCTCATAGGACAAGGAACAGGAAGGTCTAAAGCCTTGGTTACGTGAAGTGTGATTTCCATGGTACTCATTTTTTTTTTGTTTTCTTTTCTATCAGGTAACTTATAGTGTAAGTGGTTTTCTGGACAAAAATAATGATCTGTTATATAGAGATCTCTCCCAGTGCCTTTATGCTTGTGGTCATCCGTTGGCCAAAACGCTTTTTCCGGACGGTAAGTTATTAAACACGGGAAACTGTGGCTAGCACAGGGCCTTACAAAAAGAAAAAGAAAAGGAAACATTGATAAATGTTATGTAGTATATGTGATTCACAGTTGAAATGGCAAACAATTTGTTGATGGCTGTTGTGTTCTTTGCGAAACCCTTCACTGTCACAGCTTGTGGCCGGCGTTCATTCGCCTCTTCGTGACCAGACAATACTTTCATTTAACGCGACGAATAAATTTCCCTAATTTTGCTCTGCATTTATCAAAATCATTCGATCGTTTTCGTCCGTTGGTTATTTGTTTGAAGGTGAACGTCGAAACTGTGTTGCGAGGCGGAGGCACGATTTACCCTTGGGAAGGAAAATACTTAAGTACTGTGAAAATCAAGTTCAATAAATGCTGAAACAGAACAAATGCAACTTTGGATATACACGTTTTGCTCAAAAATGTAATGTGAACCTGCCTTTGTGAGTCATCCCTTAAGCTCTAGTCGTAAACAATGACCAAGATTATTTGATGTTATCAAGAGCGAATAACGAGGGGCCAACGGTCTTAGAAGCTCCCTACGGTGGCCAATTTACATCATCAACTCAGTTCATAAATACCAAACTATATTGTAATACCCCCCACGGACGCAGCACCGTAGTTTCTTTAGAAACACATCCCCTTTATTTAATAACCAAGATCGTTTTCCGTTTACGCTGACGTAATGCTCGTCTGTCTCTGTAGGTTGTCCAACCAAGGCAACTAAAAAAAGACCACCGACCACAGGAACTCAGTTCAAGGTAAACTGTATCTAAACCTAACTCTAAGCAAAGTGATTACCACGTGAATGTGGAGTTATTGTGGAGGAAGTTTAGAACAATTTTCAATTGAGTGTCGAAAGGCATCATGGACTCGTTAATTTGCTTCACGGCTCGTTGTAATTGCGGCTCGTTTCGTTTGCGCTCTCCCGCTTTTGTGATTTTCCCTTTTGTTAAAATCAGCCGTTGTGGTTACATTGGTTTACGACACTTGATTGAAAAGGGAAATTGAAATAATCCCTTTGAATGAGAGACAATTGGCCTGATGGCGCAGGGACTGTTTCTTAGTACCCTCAGCTTTATTGACCACTTAATGTACAGGATCTCGCTCAAAGATACTACTTACTTTGACTTTAGGAAAGAAACATGCATTCCAAATAACTTGAAAGATTATTCCAAGTTACACTTGAATGCTTCCGCTTTCAGTTACCGTTCGATACAGGTCGAAATTACTAAAAACAGGTCGTTGGGACTTAGTAAAGGGTGACCGCCGCCGCTAAATAGAAGTGACTGCTTGATAGAGGGAGAAATTACAGTGATTAAAGGGAAAGAGATTCGGGATTTTCACAACTGACCGCTCAATACTGGGTGGCCGCTTAATATGGTGCCTCTTAATACAGGTTTGACTGTATTAACTATAAAATTATTACTCTTTGCTTTCTTGTTCGACCACAAGGTATTTGTTATTGTTTCTACATGTATGTTAACAGAAACAGTCAAGCCTCTAAGTTTTTGTACCTTGGGTACCCTGGCTTTAATGCTAAAGACTTTGTGGTGATTACCTCTCAGAGGAAAACAGAGTTTTCTAGCTAAATGGAACCTCTCTTCTTTCTGACAGGTTTCAGTCTCTGAGTTGATGACAAATCTTAAAAGCAAGAATCCTCATTATATCAGATGTATCAAGGTACTTTACTTTATTAAAATTTTCATCGCAAAGGATTTGCAATTAGTAGCCATCAAATATCGCTACTTACCAATTATACGTCACCAAAGTTTAGCTTCAGACTGAGACTCTTTAAGACTGTCCCACTCTTTTTATGTGCAAACGGACAGATGAAATAGGGAACGTAAGATTATCGTTGTCTGTACGATTTAAATTACATTTTAAAAAATACGCGTTCAATACGCGTACAATACGCTCGATCGTTTTCACGTTAAACAGCTTTCCTTCTTTTCCTTTCCAGCCAAACGACAGAAAAGTTGCAGGGCTGTTCGATGACAAACTAGTCAGACACCAGATACGATATCTTGGGTGAGGCAATTTATTCACCTTACGTTTCTTGTATAACTTTCTGGGAAATGCATAGAGGATCGAGTAACATGGAAAAGAAACCTAAAGTAGTAGGCCCAGTCTATGCCCAGGAAAAACTTAACGGCGATTCGTTGTTGTTGGTGTATCTTACTGGTCTCAGTGCTAAGTTTAAATTTTGCTATTTGCAGTGTGTATAAATGCTGTCCTTGTTTCTTTTCTTTTATTTATTCACCTTTTTTGTTGTTGTTGTTTGCATGCATTTACAAACTATCATTTCATTGTTACTTTTTATTTACGGGTAATTTTGAACGTCGTAAGGATATGTAAACCCACTGACTTTGTTTTGCTGTGAGAAGTAATCTTCCTTGTTGGATCTTTTAATCAGGTTGATGGAGAACATTCGCGTTCGAAGAGCAGGATTTGCATTTAGACAAGAATATGACATTGCACTTGAGAGGTAAGAAACACTTCCTTTTCTCTGACATGTTTTTTATATGCAGTTGAATGCAGTTTAACGAAGTTAACAAGAAAGAGCATCAGCGTTCTCTAGTAGTCATCGGTTTTTGCATATGGGCATGCGTTGGAATCCCATGTGTTCTTCGTTTGAGGCGTTCTTGCGTGTGCTTTGAGCGTGAACTTGCAGCGTTGTGAGGAGTGCCAGCTCATCGTCCGGGCATTTCAGTCTGTAGATTCTTCGGAAATTTTAGAGCGTTTTTCGTACGAGTTTTTTAAAACCAAAACAAGTGTCATCACAGTGGCCAATCAGTAAAGAAGAAAATTTCAAAAGGAAAGCAATGAAAGCACAAAGTGAGTATTTGTAACCGGTGCCAAGCGTGGGAAAACGTGAGGGACCAAGTCACGAATAGTTTAAGTTTTGCCTCCGATTGGTTGAGAGGGTTTCACGAGTGTTCCAGCCAATCGAAGAGTGTTGTTCAAAAGAAGCCAATAGAAGCACAAAGTGAGTATTTGTACCGGCGCCAAACGCGGAAAAACGTGAGGGACCAAGTCACGAATAGTTTAAGTTTTGCCTCCGATTGGCTGAGAGGGTTTCACGAGTGTTCCAGCCAATTGAAGAGTGTGGTGGAGAAAGCTACTGCCACCTAGGATCAACTTAAACACAACTGAAAATTGCAGCAAAGCTCTTACTAACTAAACATTTGCTTATTCAGGTACAAGATGCTTTGTAAAAAAACCTGGCCCAACTGGGTGGGCATGCCGAAAGAAGGCCTTAAAGAACTACTTAAGGTACTCTCTAGAGAAAAGCTGATCCAGGGTCTTGGTCTTTAAAGAATGGCGAAAGAGTGGACGGGCGAAACACGGCGGTTGTTGAGGAAACGAAATTGGATCCCTTCTCTCCCCACCCCGGCCCCTCCGTTTTTGTGCGCTCACTTTTTCGCTCGGGCACCGCTTTTTCATTGATCAATTTCCATGAACGCTCAGTCATGTTTTTGCCGGTGCTAGGAAAGAACTATTGTACATTTTGTAGCGAGAGTGTTGCCCAATTTGCACGGAGATGTGCCATTATCGAAGAACGGTCTGAAAAGTACGTTGTTGATAATCTTTTCTTTCAGAGTTTGAATATCAAACCAACAGCGTATGCTTATGGAAGAACAAAGATCTTTTTTAGAAATCCCCGAACGGTAAGATATGGTAATAATATCGAATATTTGTTCAAGGTGTGTCTTTGTTTAAGGTGATCACAGCCTTTGCGTAAATTCTCTGCTCTTTGATTTCCGCAGTTATTTGATCTGGAGGAGAAGCGTCTTCAAGGAATGCATTTTCTAGCTGTCATCATTCAGAAGGTTTTCAGAGGCTGGAGACAGAGAACCAAAGTAAGCACTGTTTAAGGAATAGATGTCATTTTCCGTGCCTACATAGCCTCATTTAAACACAAATGGGGCGGTAAGATTCCAGGCAGATATGCAAACCTGAAAGGCAGTCGATAGTTTGAAAAATTTTGACAACTCTTCCAATCCCCCCAGCGGTTGGGTGAGGCGATGCAATCACAGCAAAAGGCCCTTTAGATTATATAAATCATTCAACCAAATTTACGTACTCCGATCTCAACACACCTATCGACCATTGAGAACGTGCGTGGTATCCGGATGTTTTATAACGTGTATTTATTTCAGACTCCAGCGAGTGAAACAGTCAAATCGAAAAACCTCGTGTCGTTTGGAATTACGGGAATTTACGTTACGGAGAGAAGCCGTTTGGGAGCCTAACAAACTGTCTTTCAGTTGTACTAATATGCTATTACGATGTTCTCTCTCAAAGAGAAAAAGGGAGAATAATCCCAAATGCCTCCGTATTTTTCGCGAGTCAAGATCTAGGTTCAACAAACAATTGTTGTTCGGGAAAGGAACGTGTAGCCTTCCCGAAAACATCTATCGAGCTTGCTCGATGAAGTGGCGGAAATGGAGCTGAGTTTAAGGTCTTATCATAGACCGGAGAGACTTCTTGAATTACTCTACAGAGAAGGTGAAACACCCCTACCCTCCCTTTGAGTTCTCCTCTTCTGTCACTTGCTTTTAGAACTATATTTGAAAGCATTTGAAAGGCGTAAGAGTTGAATTGTAGGTTTTGATGATGCAATTATTCCGGCAGAATTTGGATTTATATGACAGGGATCAAACTGAATCAATTTCTGAGTGCAAGTCTTAGTTTGCAGACCGAACTTAATCCACAGATAATTATTCTGTCAAAAGCGGCAAATGAAATTGTAAAAGAAATGAGTCATCATTAGTGTTGAAATAACATTTTCTCAGTAGAAACAGTAACTCTGTTAGACTGCTAAATAAAGAATGCTTTTAATTTGCAGCTAAAACTTTAGAAACGCGCGCATCTTTTAATGGAATCAATTTCTTTGGTTGCTTAAGTAAACTCTGAGACGTGGCGAAACTGAGTTAATTTATTTCAATCAATCCACAGTATCTCAAGATGAGAGAGAGTGAAATTATCATCGCTAAGTATTATCGTGGCTTCAGGGTAAGTAGTAGGATCTGACAGATGTTGCATAAACAGTTGTATTTTATTTGAAAAGATGTTAAACATTTGTCACTAGCTTGAAACAACGAAGAATTTCAGGTCCGAATCTTTACCGAGTGTGCTACGGAGACCTCGTTTTGATGAGCTAAACGAATGATTAGAATCATGAAAATCATAAGCCAGTGAATGTGGTTTGAATAAAACACCAAATTCTTAGGAGAAAGTAATAATAATCTGTAAAGAAAATTAGCCTTTTTTAGACCTTGGGAGTTCAAAGGTAAAAATTAACGCCTTAAACGCGTACATTTTCTCAGCTTTTCCGCATTTTTCCCTCGTTAAATTCCAAAGAGTAGTTAGTGTTTCTCAGAGCTTTACAGAAAACTCAATAATTTTCGAAATATTGTTGCAGTTTGATCATTCACTCTCTGTTCACTTCCGCAGGATCATCGGACTTATCTCAGAAAGAGAAGCGCTGCTATTACCGTCGCTCGTTTTGTTCGCGGCTGGAAGGTATGTTTTTCAATTTTGAAAATGATATCTGACGAACAAGTCGGGAAGCCTCTTTCTTCCTCAAGGCGCAAGTATTTCTGAAAAAATTAATGATGATCTATCTGTACAGCAGATCGTAACAGACAAATAATATTTGAAGTGAATCAAATTGAAACTTTGGACTCGAAGAAAATTAATGTCAATCAATTGCAGTATGAAGAGGCAATGGATAAAGAGAAGGAAAAAAGCTGAACTCCAAAAAAACATGAGACATTTCACTTTGAATAGTCGCTCTTTGGAACCAAACATCGTTTGTCGTGTTTGAGTGGACGTTATCGTCAGCATAGTTTCATTACAAGATCCTCATCTTATACTACCTTGTAGTTCGATTCTGGGCTGCTACAGGCAAGAATGGCTAAACTCTGTTTCTCTTCTCCTTCGTTTCTCTCTTACTGATATCACGAAAAACCCTTGGCACAGAAACGTGCTTCAGATCATTGCACATACATGTGATCATCATGTCTAAGTTAAAACGCTTGCTACGCTTGTGTGGATTCTCTGTGCGATGTTGGCTATGACAGGCAACAAGTGGCTAATCTCGTTTTTACTCTTCTTTCCTTTCATGAACAATAATGATAACAGTGTAATAATGTAATAATCACAATAGAATATGTGTGCCGCGCTAAACTCTGAACCCAACTTTCGAAAATCTTTGTGGAACTCTCATAGTAATACCGTAACAATGTCTTGACTTTAATTTAAAAAGCATTTTAAACTAACTCTTGCAAACTATCTCTTGTAAAATAACTCCTATAAACTAAATCTTATAATGAAGGTAGCGACAGATTACTAGCTAATATGATTGCTTTGCCTAAGAGTAGATCTTGTCTCTTGGAGGCCGTGGGAATTCTACCTGCAATAGACAATAGAGAAACATGCTTTCTGGACTCCTGTGGCGAATTAGTCTCTCTCTTGTTCATTTGCGCCTCGTCGAGGAAACGCATTGTTGTGTAACATACATATATCAATGCCGCTCTACTAATATGTCACGCTTTCGACATGATCCTTACCACTTTCACAACGAGCAACTTACAGTTTGGTTTGATTTTGTCATAAATAACACTCGTCTTTTCCAATTGTTTCTGCTCTTCATTTAGCCATCAGCTCTGTAGTGGACAAACTCTTGTCGTTTTCACGCAAAATGGGAGGATACGATTTTTCTGTGAACAACGAAGCATTCAATACCTTTGAGTGCCCCCTTTTCACTATTATTTGATCATTTATTTCATAATGAGCTTATCAAAATAATCGTGGATAAGATCATGGAAAGTAATGGAATTTTATCAGTTTTATGGATTACCAACTTTGAAAAAGCCCTCCTTAGCCTTTTTAAGTTGATATCTGTGGACGTTAAGAAAATTTTACCCTTCATTAATCCATTGTGGTTTTGTGCGTTGGCATTTTTTTATTCTCAATATCTCGTTTTCCCATATTATCCTATTAACTCGATCCGAACAGCGGTTTATAAGCAGTAACCAGTCGTTTTACGTCTCAGGCGCGGAAGCTCTACAAAGCCATGTTGTACGAGAAGAAATGTATCTGGGCTTCTGGTATAATTCGTACTTACTTCTACGGATGGCAGGTCAGCGTTTATCCTGTAAATCTCAGGAGAGATAAACACCTAACTTATCCTAACATTATCAATACATTAACCAACATACACTTGAGGAGATTAAACTATTTATAAACTAGAGGGCGCTATCTTGATGTAACACCTCATCAAAATTCAGGTGACGCGGCCAAAAGTATGAATTACTAATCATGTCTTGGAATTATCCAAAAGAGTTCACTGGAAAAAACAACAACAACAACAACAACACACACATAAAACAGAAAATCTCCTATCACATGTCCGGGACCAGGACTAGCAGTTTGGCCTTAATAAACCTCTTTCATTCACCTTACGCAGTTTTTTTTGACAGTTTCACCGACTCACCAAAATCCGTTTCCAAAATTGACACTGTTTATACGTCGGTGTTTTATTGAATGATCCGTTTCTAGTCACGCCCAAAATAATCTTCTAACTTCATCCCTTCAATTAATTTTCCCATTTAAAGATACTTGGAGCATCTTCGAAAACAAAGCTTAGAATTCCTAACAAGAGTCCATTTAGCACTGCCAAAATTAACGATAAAAAAACTGCGACACCACCATGCCTCCTTTGTCTCCATTATCAAGTAACATGGATACTTGTAGTTCAAATTTATATTAAATATTGATACTTGAGTATAATTAATAACGTGCGTGTCACATCAAAATAACCTGCTATTCTGTTATTGTAAAATAGATGGTAAATATGAGAAAAAGGCGAGGGAAGAAAAAAAACCAACTATGTTAGTTATTTTAAATTTAGGTCACCCAAATACTTAATGGCACTGATGGACTAATTGACTTAGTGTAAATATAATTAATGAGAGGAATCTAGCAGCGTTAACCAATGATGTAGATAGGAAAAAGGTGATACTTCATCGGCTAACTTCTGAACATCTAACTTCATTACGACTTTTAAATAATTAATCATTAACTGACTGTCGGAACGAGCAAGCACAACGGACAACATAATGAATTCATTCCATTCAATTTCACCAGGCCCGCAAACTTTACAGATCCATGGTTCTTGAAAAGAAGCGCAAACAGGCGGCGACAATAATCGCAGCCTATTTTACAGGCTGGAAGGTGAATTAAGAGTGGTATCTTTTTTTCCTGGTTAAGTTGTTAACTAAGGCATGCACCTTTAGTCTGCAGTGCAGGCGAATTTTTGGCACTCGTGATTGTAAGTGATAGGTCTAGCGCCGGATAGTTTGGATTTTCAAAGCCGGGAAAGGTTGAAATTTTGTTTGAACTCATTTAGACAATCGCACTTAAGTCACTTATTTTGTCGCACTTCAAATCACTATTGTTTTGTCAATTTGATTGCCTTTCGCATTCATTCCATTCAATTCCACCAGGCTCGCAAACTTTACAGAAGCATGGTCCTTGAAAAGATACGCTTCCAGGCCGCTATTATAATAGCGGCGTACTTTACAGGCTGGAAGGTGAATGAAGAGTGAACTTTTATTTGGACTCTTTAAGACAATCGCAACTTAAGTCGCTGTCATTTTTTCGCACTTCCAATCACTATTGTTTTGTCAATTTGATTTCCTTTCGCATTCCATTCAATTTCACTAGGCCCGCAAACTTTACAGATGCATGGTCATTGAAAAGATACGCAAACAGGCGGCGACTATAATCGCAGCCTATTTTATAGGCTGGAAGGTGAATTAAGAGTGAAATATCTTTTCCTGGTTAAGTTGTTATCTAAGACACTATTAGCCTGCAGTGTAAGCAAATTTTTGGCGCAAATCATTGTAGGTGAAGAGCTCGGCTACCGAAACGTCTTTAATGCCAGGAAAGGCTGGGGAGTAAAAAACAGATATAATTTTTTTTTTCTCGCGAAAGGGGTGGAGGAAAGATAAGAGGAAGTAAGAGGAAAAGGAGGGACCTGCCTGCTCCCTTCTCCGTCCAATTCAACCTTCAATCAAACATTGCAGATCAGTGAACAGTCGCAAGCTTTCAAACTGAGTTCTTCTTCTTTATGATACGCCTGCACTACCGGCCAAGAAACCACGCGCGCTTCGATCGGTTTAAAACTTGTCGTGAATTGAATAACTTTCTACTGGTCGTGCCGTATTCTGCTCGAAAATTTTGTGAAATAACTGAATTTTGCGTAAAGAACACGAGCCCCGAAGACAAATGTATTTTTCCGACAAGACAGCCGGGACAGCAGTCACTTGAAAAGATTAAAGGGTTACGTTGCCCCCCGAAAATTTTTTTTTTTTGCCTTTGTCGTCGGTAGAGTGGTTTGCGTGTTGCTGCGTCGTAACGCTTTCTAGCTTTGCTTTGGTGTGACGAAAAACATATCGCTCAGCTCTCTTTGAGATCCAGTTGTTGATATCATTTCATCTTAATGAAGTCTAAATGGTAACTAAAAACTGTTAGTACCGCTAGCTTTAAACCCTCGTGCACCGCTAAAGTATACGTGTTGCATCAAACTTACAAAGATTTCAGAGTAATTTCCTACAGGAAGTCAAAAGTTGTCCTAGCTTGAGAAGATGTTATGAAGGCTTGTGATCAGTCTGGAAAATTCGTGACGCCTTTTCAACTTAAAAATGCAGACTTGGTACTACATAGTTTAGTACTTTAGTATTATCAAGTTAGATGATAACGTAAATTGGTCACCGTAAAGAGTTTCAAACTGAAGCTGAAGTTTCGAGCGTTACCCTTCGTCATTCGCTCTGACGAAGGGGTAACGCTCGAAACGTCAGCTCTGAAACTCTTTACGGTGGCCAATTCACCTTATCAACTCCGTCGATAATACTAAATTACCTTGCTATACTCTCCCACCGACGCAGCTCTACAGCTTCATTAGAGACTTATTCCCGCGACCTAGTTACTTATGCGTTCTAGTGCATGTGGACATTAGACTTGCTTTTTTGATTGGCTGTTGTGACAGCTGTGGTTTTGGTTCGACCAGCGATCTGACAAAGATTTTTCTAACCATTCCTTAGATTTCTAAGCAGAATAATAATTAGACTTATAACTAACTTAAAACTAACGTAATTTTGAAAACTGAGATTAAATGTACGTTGCCATATTAAAAACAAAAATAAACAAAACATGGAGTGGTCGCATACATCAAGAAATTTTAAAAAATGATTTTTTTTTGTTACGTTATCTAGGTTCGTCGTGAGTATCATCCCAAGTTCAGAAAGAATGCAGCTCCAAAGATCATGAAGTTTCTTCGCCTGTACTTTGTATGTAGCTTCTTAAACAAACTTCAGTCCTCAGTTGTGAATTCTGTGTCATCATTCTCGTTACAACTTGCACGTCACAAGCAATATGATTCGTAAACTCTGATTCATTACAGCGTTACAGATATTTGAGCACGCTAAAGAACAACCTACCGTCTTTGTCACCTGTGGATACGCATTGGCCTTCATCTTCACCAATGTTTAGGAAGACAAACAATCTTCTTAAAGGCTTGTACCACTCTTGGAGAGTAAGTTGTCGTCATAAAACATTAGAGAACGAAAACAAACGATCAAACGAAAATACTAAATATTACGCATAGGCTATAGTTTCTATTAATGCCAGACTTTTTTCCCTCATAGTTGTTGCCCAAGAAGGCAGGAAGACTATGAAATAGTTTGTAAACTCGCTCAGATTTGGCTCTTTTCCTCCCTAGTGTAAGAAATTCAGAGACAGATGTCCTCCCGAAAAGAGAGCGATTCTAAAAGAAAAACTCCAAGCCAGCGAGGTGTTCAAAGACAAAAAATCTTCGTATCCTTCCACGTAAGTTTGATAACTTTTTGATACAATCAATATGTTTCTCGTCTTTCATGACTTTGTTAAATTCCGTCTCTCTTTATTTTTGTGATATGGATGTTAAGTCCTGTCCCTGTGGATCTTGCAATTTTCCTCCCATTTTATGAACACAGGAGCCAAGTATTCCCAAAACATACCACTCAAACTTTTAGGAAGATAAAAACCGTTTTTTTTTTGTTCGTACTTCTTGTTTTGTAGGGTAGCAGTTCCTTTCCAAAGCGATCGTGTCAACCTTAATGCCAATCCAAAGTGGAAAAAGAACACTGGTAACAACAACCAACGAATCGTGTGGGCGGATTCTGTGTTAAAGATCAATAGAAAAAACGGCAAGGTCTACTAAAATGTTTTTATTGTTGTATTATATTTTCAGTTTGTTGATCAGGAATTAAATGTAAAAGGGGAGAGGATAAAACGGCTGTGCGTTAAATGTGGAACGGGCGCGGAGAAAAGCGAAAGTTTTCATGCGGCGATTTGCTTCTCCTTTACAAAGATTTCAGAGTAAATTCCTACTGGGAGAGAAAAGTTATTCTTTCACAACAGTGATCTCACAGTTGATCGAAAGCGATGTTTGCGACCTTCAGACTTGATCTTTTGTTTATATCTATGAGTGATAAGCTAACAGATTTTGCTTAAAAGAGTGAATACCCTTCAAAACAAAGCGTAATCTGAAGACTCGATTTCACGAAACTAGTTTTAGTCTGGATTTTAAACGTAAGCGTTTCGAGTGGGGAAATCTGTTTTTTAAGTTACTTCCTCTCATAGTTGGAACATTTTCTTAATTTGGAACGAACTCTGCATGAAAATACTTTACAGACATACAAGTAAGCTTTAATTTTCATGTTTTATCGTTCCTCTTCTTCCAGGCAGTGCCTCACATTTTGACCATTTCGGACACTGAGATGCTGGTGTTAGACCCCAAGTCTCTCCTCACGAAATACAACATTGATTTGGGAGACATTCAGAGAATCTCCGTCAGTCCGCTGAAAGACGGAGTAATCGTGTTCCACATTCGCACGGTAGATGTCCATCTGTCTGTGTTATTCTTTGGGACCAATCAATATTTGTCGAGGAGGGCGGGGGGGGGG